ATTTGCGTGTGAAATTATCATATGTAGCAAAATTGTAGTTCAGGTTTTTCTGAGGTAATCTAGTAGTTTCAAAACCATTTTGCCAATGAAGTTTGTTTTACCTACCACATTAGCATCACCTTTTGGCTTAAAATAATAATGAATGAGTCTTATGAAATAAAAACATTATTTAAGTCAATTATTATACTCTACATGTATTGCTAATTGTATTGAATTGTGCCAAACCTTGAGATTCCCAGTTCTATTGATAGTTAGTGAGCCAAAAGCAACCAAAGCTATGTCAAGAAATGCAGACAGAGGCAGCAGCGATCACACTTGTTACCCGGTTTAATATCAATTTGTATAAGAACTGAGACGTCATCACTGGAGATACTAATGACTCATGCTTTAGATATAGATACTGTAGTAACAATGAGGATCAGGATAAATGTTACTTCTCAAAGACCATGGAGCATCACCAAATGTAACTAAGAACAAACAACCCATTGTCGAAGTAAACACCAGAAAGCCTACACCATTTCCGTTTGAGCAAGACTAGTCCAGCAATATTAGATAAACAACCACAAAGTCATGACTGTGAACTTCTCACTGCTAGCTTAAAAACTGTTCAGCGCATCTCTCTGGGTCGTACACTTGAGACATTAGTTGTGTGAAGTTACATTTTGTCCAACAGTCTGGAAATAGGTAGCAATGGAAATAACTGGGCACGGATCCAAGCACCTGGAAGAGACAGTGAAGCAGATGTAGCAGTGCTTCAACAATGGGCCCATCGCTCAGTATGTGTTTCTGTCACATGGGCAGCTTAAAGGACTTGCATATTCTGTTTTACTCACAATTATTAAAAAGTTATTCATAAAGCTGGGGCACCTAACAAAAATGTTATGTAATAGAATCTGTTCAAACTAGTTGTATCACTAGCTTTCACATGGGTGTATTGTGGCCTATGTCACAAGTGGATAGCTGACTCACATGGCTCTTTCTAAGAATGCAAATGCTGCAATGTTTTCTAATAAGATGAACACAGCATGTTATGGTCTCACTTGGGTTAATTTTACGCAACTGGTTCAATTGGGACAAACCACATGTATTATTTATGGAAGGGATTTTACCTACCCCAGCTTTAAATAATCTTATGTTTGTAAATACCAACAAAACAGTCAGTAGGAAAAAACAATTTATTTGTATTTTATGATAAGAGAAGATAAGATATTAGAGCCTTTATTCATCCCAATTTTGATTTTGGTAGCAAAGTTTTGAATTTCTTCCACCTTATACAAAGATGATGTTCGGTAACTAAGCTTAAAATGGTCATAAATGTCGCTGAACATCATGGCTGCTGGAATGTGTTGGTCAGCTGTACATTAAAGCTGGGGTACCCAATTTATAAACCACAAAGAAGTAACTATAAGAAATATCTAATTAATTCATCGCTCTCATAACAGTTTTCTGATCTGTTCCGAAAGAAGTTTTCTTCTGTCACAGCTTTAGATCAGCTTTTTCTGACATATAAGTGAAAAAAAATAGGACCACAATCAATCAGCCAATCAGCCAAAAAGGGCGTTTTCATGTGGTCTTTGTTCACAACATTTAACTTTTGCAATACTCTATCTATGGGGACAACAAAAGAGATTATGTATGTAGTTGGAAGTTAGGTATCTTAGCTTTTTCAAATAATATTAACTCACTCATTAGTGTTTAAGCACTAGTATAGTCTATGAAATGGATGAAAACCTACATTAAGTTTAAAAATGACGCCAATGTGTTCAAATTAAACTAAATACCACCCAGATAACATGGCCAAATCACCATCATTCATTCATTTAGTTTCCAGCCAGACAAGATTTGGAAAAGCTTCAGACAAGCGTTGTAATGTTTCGCTCTCATAATTGCTCTAAATACAGATAAATTCCAACTGTTCCATGCATTAGAGAGCGTGTTACACTTTAACAAGAAATACCATCATGGGAAACACTAGGCTCTACCACCCATTTGGTTCTCATTAAGCCTCTTGCCAACAGCTCAAAACAACCATTACTGCTGATTCAGATGACATGACAAATAACGCCTTTTCTTCAACAACTACTTCTATATAATTTATTTTGCGCCTGTGGGTAATCAGGTCAACTGTCAGATCATGTGTGAAGCAGAAAGACCGAGCCATGCAGACTGTACTCAACCCAGTCTTCCGCAAGTATGTGAGAAAGCCGGGTGGGTGGGGGCGATATTAGCGATCCAACTATTTCCATGAGTTCACAATTTGAGACTATTATTTTTGGAGCATATCCCCAGTCGTCATATTACATCATTACACAGACTTTATGAGATTCCAGACTCAAAATGTTTTTATTGCAATTGGTTTAGGTTTGCACTAGGGATGTATAAGCGCACAAAATTAAACATGTTAGAACTTGAAGCAAAATCATCTCATTTCTGGGTCAAGTTCTCTGAGTGCTTTTTATCTACGGTATATCACAAACACCTTCACGTTATCATGCACAATATATACTGTTTAACTTGGCATGTAGTCAGTATTTTATCTGTATATGAGTACATGTAGAAAGTTGTAAAAATGTTTTTAAAAAGAACGGGCAGGCTAGGTCTTCCAGCATTACAACATTTATTATTTTAAAACAAGATATAATATGTATATGTTTAGAAATGGTATATGTTACATTAGGCCTCAGTTCGTAACCGCCCCCCTCTCTCTGGGGCTTGGACTCCCCTGTAAGAAATTCTGAAATCCCAGTTGGACTTTCCTGGTTATATAAAGGTTGATAAATAAATAAAATGAACACATACTAGCCTGGCCTTAGCCATCCGTACACTTCGGTCAATAATAATTTCCCTGCATGTAACGTCTGGGTCTGGTCCCTCTGCTTGCGATTACATCAATAGAATTCCATCCGACCAATCAGCGAGCACAGGAGGCGGGTGTTGTAGTTAGTTGTGGGTGACGTCAAGAGTTTGCGCCGAACAGGCAGGTTGTAGTTTGACAATGGTGAAGAATGCGATAGCAAAGTTCTATCAAGTAATTTCTTGATAGAACCAGTCTGGTTCTATCAAGAAATTGAAGCCGGGGCAAGAGAAATGTATAGCAAAAGTCATTGCTGGCAAAGATTGTGGCGCTTCTCCCCAGGGGCTCCGTTAGCGGCAAAGGAGATGGCTAGGCTAAATGCCGACTCACTCACGCGCATTACGTAAACTCAGATCCAATCGTTTCAATCTGCAAAAGGAGTTAACCCCTCCTATCTGTAAACGGAGCTCAATGGAGCACCTCCAGACCTTAGTACGAAATGTAATTTGTACTATGTGTGGTACGACCAGGCAAATACTAACCTTGAGTATTATTGAATCTCCATAAACCTGACTCATATTGGGTTTTTTTTCCATGGAAATATTGCTCCATAGATAATGTATTATATTCAACATAGCACAATACAGAGAAGGGTTTTAACGTGTTTGTCAAGAATGTCCAAACACAGTAAAACAGTATGTGAGAGGAATTTCAACATGTTAGACAACGGGAATAAAAGATCATTTAGATTTGTGTTGATCTTTGTTTAAGGAGATTTTTTTCAGACGCTTTAAAAAAAAAAAATATTGTCAGGAAACATCCCTAAACCCTAAAAGTAGTCAAGTTATCACGTGTTTTCAGATAGTAATGGAATTGACCAGATGCCAATAGTCTCCAAAAATGTATAGAAAATATGTTAGAGCGGACCGATAAAAATAAACCAAAGGGATGCGATTACCCCCTTCACCCTCTTCCTGTTTCTCGTGAGTGCGCTCACCTGAGTTATCAGATTTTTTAAAACCTAAAAGGGCTGAACAGAAAATGCCAATTTCACTTTTGCCAAACACTCTCCCTGTTGGGACAAAGAAAAGAAAATGCTGGATGTTTGGTTTGGTGGAGAAGCGAGGGGGGAGTAGTTTTGAGTTGGTGCTACGGCTAAGCTAACAAAATCGCTTACTGCACCTTTAATTCTAAGTAATTGTAAAAATGTGGTGTTTTTCCCAAAATAATATCAACTGTGAAACCGTGTCATCCCTTGAACTCTCGAGCCTTCAGCAGCACTTTGACTGCGGCGTGTCTAAAAGCATGATTACAGGCTCTGCTTATATACACCTATTGCCTGGGGCCCCACAGACACATCAGTCTGTCAAAGTCTCAACAACCGCAACAACACGCTTTAAAACGAAACAACAGGTAGAAAATGTGAATACTATTATTAGACAAGCAGCGGGCTTCTAACCAAAGAAAACTTCACCAGGAAGATTACATAACAATATATCATGTTGCAAGCAGGTGGGTGACTGTCTGGAAGTCTGGGCACTGACAGCAACAAGTTTGTGTTACGCACTTGTACCGATTTATGGCCACACTTTGAGTAATAACTTAGTAATTCATTTTGTATTGGCACACCATGCTAACGCTAATTCAAAACTCTAATTACTACTCAATATCTTTCTTCCAATTACCAGAAGCTCGAAGTCTATTATCATGCTCCTTACTTACTTACAGTTGTTAATTCTAAATCCAAACTATTATTTCATTTATGCATTCTTCCCTCTTATCTCTTTCTAGACACTGTATGACAAACATGTATCAAACTAACTAGAAAAGTCCCATTGAGATTACGAACCTCTCTAACAATGGAGTCCTGGAAGCAAGTTCTGTTGTGAGTTTGCACTATTCTTGACTAGAATTGTATCTAATAACATTATAATAATAGTAGTAGTAATAGTAATAGTATTGGCATGGCATAGCACCAATTCCAAGCCATAATTTGGTGTATGTAGGTGCTTAACCCATATATTACATATTCAAATAACTGTCTGGTTGCATGGACAGTATACATAGAACATAGTCAAATAAAAGCCATATTTTGTTTGAATAACATATAGCAAATCATGAAATGGAGAAGATATCTGTATGCCTGTGTTGTTGTCTCTTTGCTCTTTCAATATCACCCACTCAAGAAGTATTCCAAGTTGTTTACCTGTTTTCTCCCTTTCCATTGGATGGTGGCGGGCGTAAAACTGTCTGGTTGTCCTCCATATCCACGACACATTTCGTATTAAGTTCAATTTCTGCAAGAAGAAGTTTATTATGTCCAGAAATTGAACTTGTTTGTGTTTTAGTCTTTTTTGTGGGTGTGCAAAAAAAAAGTTATAGAAGCTGCTCTTGAACGCGCATAGGCTCCCGTGCGCAGGTCACATACAACACAGGAGACCAAAACTTCACAAAACTTGGTATAAAAATGAAGTTTAATGTTTATATAAGGCGTGAAGAGTATGCACAGGCAGCACACTTACCCCTGCGGTTCATGGGACGAACTCTCACCGCGACTTTCACCTTTGTATCCGACATTTTTAGAGCAGTTCTCCCACTCCCACCCTGTCTGACGGTCGCCCAGCTCCCGGGAGCAGAGGCCGATTTCAGGCGCTAAAGAAGCCGTCGAGGGCTAAGAAAAACACCTCTAGGAGTCCGCAGGTCGAAGGGAAATAGTCCGTGTTTAGTTTGAGATCCATTACGGCGCGTTTGCTCTGGTCCGAGTCTGGTTCTCAGCTCCAGCCCGACGCAGCAGCATCCCCAGCGCCATCTTCCACTGCGAGCATGACTCTCTCTCTCTCCTCTGAGTGAGGCTGAGCGAGAGGGGAGGAGAGAGGGGCCAGGAGAGAGGGGCCAGGAGAGAGGGGCCAGGAGAGAGGGGCCAGGAGAGAGGAGGGGGGACTCTCTCTACTTCAGAAATTATATTTGAAATAAGAATAGGGGTTTGAGCCATGTCTCAATTCTCTTTGGAACGGATTATCTATTGATTTAAATGGAAAATGTTCAAATATGATTCAGTTCAAAACTATTTAAAAAGTACTGGAGAAGTATATGGAAGAAAGAGTGTGTATGTTGTGTGCGTGTGTGTGAAAAAATTCAGATTGTAAGAATTATGTACTATACTTCTACCTTTCAAAAGCACAAGCTCTATGTTTGGCCATAAAGGGGATGTCAGCAGCTGAAATTGCAATGTTTTTAGTAAAGAATGATTCTGACCATCAGTAAGATTTTCTGGAGGAGAAGAACTGAACCAATGACAAGGGGCCTCAAGTATTTTAATTGATTTTGACCAATCAGGAGGGGGGAGCCTGAGAGGATCTAACCCATGGATCAATTAAACCAGGGTGAGTATCCACATATCCACAGCACGACAATCAATTCTTCAATTTCTACTTTGCAGTTATAGTGTGAGATAACTTAGCTGAGCAGTAGTGACATGGCAAGAAACCAATTTGTAAATGGCCCCCAAGTCTAGGATTTGATGAGTTCTTTGAATAATGATAATTTTTTCATTCAGTGTAAAGGTGGAATTATATCTGTTGTTTTGTCATCAATATAACATTTGTTGGACAAGTTGTGCCATTTCTTAGCTGAGTTGGCTGACAAATTTTGTATGGCCTTTGGTCTTTCTCTTGTGATCACAGATTTTTATCAAAAGCTGCTTTATACACATTTTCAGTTTCTTATGTTTTTGACTGCGGGATCTGGCTTTTTATCTGATTTAAGGCATCTTAATGATGCAATTCATGTGGATTTATGTTAGGGCACATGTCTACGCATGTTCTTTTCAATGGGCTTTTTATTTCATATAGGTCACATTGTTTAAACAATCATTCAACTTAGTCCATTGAGTTATTCAATAAATTCTGGATTCTCAGTTACATACACTTCTGCAAAATTGGCAGGGAGAACAGCACACTGCAATGACCAGTTGCACCAATTGGAGGCAGTGTTCTTTCAAATATCACAAGAGAGGGGCTATTAACAGGATTGTAAGGCAACTAACTCTGGTAGGAGCAACAATTAGGTAATACTGAGACCACACAGGACTGGAAATGACTGAAGTGGCTCTAACCTAAATGTGTAAATATTTACCTCTCAAATATCCCTATGTATGCTTTTTTTTCTTATCTAAATACTATTTTTTCTTATTATGAGTAAGTTATGGATTATCTGTCTATCTTATACAGACATCATTTTGCACCAATATACAGTAGCAACGTAGCCAGTGGATGTATTTTTATTGAGGGAGAGTATTCAACAGGGCAGAAGACAAAAATTTGGACACAGTCATCACCTCTTGTATGTTTATGTGAACAGAGACCTGATGTTAGGAAATGTAGGGAAACACACAGCTCTTGTTTTTACCTGATTACAGTTGTTGTCAGAGCAGAGTTTACAGGCTCATTATTTTGACTACATTAAGTTTTATTAGCTAGAGGAATCACGTTTATTATCAACATAAATTGATAAAGGATTCCTGAACTGGAACCTAACACTTAAAGGTAATTAAGCAGGCTAACATGATGTAATGTTGGCTTTCTCAGAGATTCTTGTGTTACTCACCAAGTTTTGTCCATAACAAATCAATAAAACACCTCATCATTAAACCATGTTGTGGCCAGTTAAAAGAAAAGTCTATTGCCTTGGTTTTGCTATATTTGCTTTTAACATCAGCTGTCACTTAAGGGTTACATTACAACATGAAAACCTGCAGCTTATTTTCAAGTGTGTCAAAAAAATATACTTTCTCTCAAAATGTAGATGTATAGATTAGAAGCACTGTTAAATGTGCCCTTATTTTTAGCTTTAGCCCCTGCTATATCAAACGTAAAAATATATATGTATAGTAAAACATTGGGCAAGTTTTGGGGGGCCTTAAAGTTGCCATATGTAACATTTCTCACTTCTCTTCACAACCTGACTGTGAGTGAGGTCACATATCCACAAGCCTTGACCTGTAACTTGGCCTGGTGCTGTGACCCGTTTCCAGCAAAGCAATCTCTCAGCAGCCGAAACCCTATGCTACCATTGATTTAAGGTAGAGCCGTTAACAAACTTAATCCTATTGCCTTCAGAGGATGTGTTCAGGTTCACTCACATAACTTTGTGCAATACTGTATCGTGTGTGTCTACTTAGTGCCATTTTTCTAGTTTTTGTAATGAGTATGAAAATAATTGGTGTATATCACTCCCTTACTGTCAATCCCTGTGTTCAATCATTGTATTTCCCCTTTAATTTTATTCTTGTGAACTGTTCATTATGAGTCACGGTGAAATGGGACCAATAGTTTTTTTTTTTTTAAGTCATGCTTGGGGGAAAACATATCATTAAAATTGGAATAGTTTGGACAAGAATGAAAGTAATACACCAGTTTAAAAAGAGTTATAAGTAAGTGCTTTTCGCTAAACACGTTTGCAGGTCAAGTAAAAAAAAAAAAATGTATTTAAACTGTTCACAAGCTACTTTTGAATGCAGCCCATGAAGGAAGCTGGTATTTGGAAGTTGTAAGATGAGGTGGGGTTATACAAGTTATTACTTTGCCTCTCTTTTCATTGTACATTGCTCATAATTTCTACTGTATATTTGAATTGGCATAATGGTTGTAGATTTATTTTTCAATATACAGATAAAGAAACACATTAATTCAAATTGACCGCATACACAATTTTGGAATCCCTTAAATTTTCTGTTTCCTTAGAAACTTACTGAATGTTGAATATGTATATGCCTAAGTTGTTGACCCATATTTTGTGTTGTATGTCTTGACAGTATGGTCTCCACTGTCCAGAATGACAAGTTTTGTGTTTACATATGCCAACGCTACTGGACGAATAAGGTTGGCACTCACTAGAGGCGCTGGAACAGAACCACACCATGGTTTCCCCAAACTCCAAACCATCCCACGACAACTGTCAACTGCAAACAAATCCCCATTTGGACCAAACGCCACAGCTGACAACTGCATGACAACATTAAACTGTAAACTCATATTGGAGCTGTCGTTCTGATAAAACATATGAAAATTGTTTGTATATACATTCAATCTTGTGTGTTGGGTTTGCTTTAGATGCTCTACAGTTGCAATGTTTCCAGTCACAGAGCAGCAAGATACAGCTTTGGGATTCACCAGGTTAGTAACAACAGTGTGGCATTCAAAACGTCTGCAGCCGTAGTCCACATTTATTTGAAAGAGTGAGCCAGCTAACGCATCCGACACAATCATACTCCCATGAATGTCTGTATCCACACCCCAAGGAAGCTGAAACAAGGCCCTGATAGTCATAATATGCATTCCTCTCGATGTATAGACCTTCACAGCTTTATCTCCTCCATCTGTCACCACCACATGACCCAATGGGCATACAGCCACATCCAATGGGTAGCTGATTTCTCCACAAGATTTTCCTCTTGGGCCAAAGCTGTTAAGAACGTCGCCTTTTGAGCTGAGAACCACAACCCTGTGATCTCCATCGTGTGCTACTACTATTGTCCCTAATGATCCTAAGTTATCAAGTCCAACTGGGTTATTTAAAGTACCCCAGCCTCCCAGAACTGCTGGTCCATCTGTTTTGAGTCTATTCTGTTCTGAGTGGGGAGATGGAACAGCAGCACCCCTGGATTCGTGCAACAAAAGCATCTCTTGGAGGTCACTGAGGACTTGGCAAGTGCAGGTGTGGTCCAGGCTGCACAGCTGTCTGCAGAAGGGGCACTCCAGCTTCCTGTGGACGGGGTGGGACAGGGCCGAGACGCATTCCTGACACAGGACGTGGCCACAGAGAAGGTGCTGGGCTCTGCAGTCTTCACTATAGTCATTAAAGCAGACCTTACACTCCATTAGGGTCATCTGGATGTCCTCCAGAACAGCCACTTCATACCCAGAACTCGAGGAATGCAGTTTCTCAGCCATGAATCAAAAATGGTGCAGCGTCCAATAGATGTGCAGCTGCCAAAAGACAAAAAAAAAAAAATTAAAGTACGGTGGGAAATTGAAAAAGATTGAAAGCACAACAAGAAAACAAGCAGTAGGCTACTAGTATCATGTGTTGAAGGCCCAAGCTGTCACATGACACCAAAGCTCTATGCTGCCCCCAACTGGATATATTTATAGACTGCAAAATACATGACACAGTAAAGGTTTGCTGTAAATAGGAGACTTCAAACTGTACTTTAACACCAATTGAGTTTTATTGTTTTACTTTTTACATGCATTTGTATGTATTTTATGCTGTCTTCTTTTATTTCTTATCTTTCGTGCCTGTGAAGCACATTGGGCAGCTGGTGTTGTTGTAAATGTGCTATACAAATTTACATTGACATTGATTTCAAACAGTGCATTAAACAGTTGTGTAGTCACTAGTGTTGACACGCAGATGTTTGGCCTCTGTCACATCTTTGAATCATTTTTTTCCAGACAAAAAAGTGAACTTGCCATAACCACCCTTGTTCAGCTCAAAAAAAGAAAATGGCAATAGATCTAAGTTTTCTGGCATTGGTTATTAATTCACAAAAAATGTAAACTGTTACCTCAACTTTTATGCTAAACAATAAAACAATTTTGCAAAAGTTTGATATTATATTTAGGTACATTTAGTCAAAGTAAGTAAGTTTATATGTATAGCGCATTTTACAGACCAAGGTCACTCAAAGCACTTTACATCAAAGCAATACCATCTCCATCTCCAACATGTCAGAAAAGTAATGCAATGCACCTTTATACATTTTGATTGTATTAAGAGCCAATAGTGTTTCTGAACTAGAATTGTCATCATAAAAAGGTTATTTCCGTCTGCTCTGTCCTGTGATGTGCAGACGGAGGGAAATATGATCTCACACAGGCCGCTGCAGTCTTGTAGTGTTCTTGAAGGGACAGGGAAAGGTGACTCATGATCTTTCACAACAAAGGGTTCTCAGAATACCAATTTAGAACTCTAATGTAGATCTTTCTTTCAACTCTTGTCACATTCCGTCACTAGACTTATTTCTACTTCTGTACTGCAGTCTACTATACTTTGTGCATTACACATTTTACCAGGAAAAGTCATATTGTCATTTTTTGATGTGGCTAAATTAGTTATTGCCTGTTACTGAACAAGGAAAGGAGAGTCCTGGCTCCCTGACATGTTTTAATGGTAGGAGAAACCGGAGCAGACATGGGGAGAACATGCAAACTCCACCCAGAAAGGCCCTGTATGGAGATGGAATCGATCTCTGGACCTGCTTGTTGAGCACTCAGCTATTGTGTGACCCAAATAATAAAAAATCTTTGTATAATGTGTATACTCAGAGAAAGAAGACAGAAAACACTTTTAATATATGTTTTAATCTTTCACAGTAAAAAAGGTGAATGAAATATACACCAAAATATGACAAAAAAGAACAATTGAAATCTATAAGACAGAGTACCATTTATCATCAAGGACTGATGAATAAATAACTGAATAGAAAAGTTACAAGCTTTTGATGAAAACTCTTTAGTAATAGTACAAAGAACTACGATTGGGGCACAATGATCAGATAAGGCAGGTGTGAATGGCAGGACAGTGGAAAATACTGCAAGTTCTAAAACACTTTATCACAGTCATGCGATTAAATAACCTTTGTGAAAACAGAAAAACAATATCTGCCTCGAGTCAAATTATAGCAGCAACATTTGGGACAAGGCGAGTAAAAAGACTTAGTTACAATGAAAGAGTAGAAAATACTTAAAAATGCATTGTATTATCTCACACACAAACAGATAGTAAAAGTGCTTCGACTGGGTGTGTTTTGTGTTTGGTTTCAGTAAAAAAAAAACGACAAAGATTTAGTCATCCTTAGTTCAGTCAACATTCATAGTAATAAACGATCATATTAAAGTATCTACATGTAACTTCACAATAGAAAACTTTAGCCACTTTCTGTGCCTGACAACATAGAATCTTGCCTGATAATTATGGACATAGAGGTGGGAAATATGTAGAAAAATTGATAATAATGCAATTGTTGTTTTAAAAAGATATGCCTGATTTTAACTTTGAGTTTTTAGTCAAAATTAACAGAAATGACCACAAATCATCCAAGGAATTTATTGATTTCAGAACCTCTTCCGGGGGTTGTCCTGGTTCTGGGGGATAGACTGCAGTGGACTGAGACGAATGCTGACATCACCCATAGCGTTTGCCTTATTGGAGAAGAAGCCCGTTGGATCTAGCTGGATGGCAACGACCTAGCAACCAAAGAGCCAATCAGGAGTGCTGCTGGCTACACTCTAGCTAAAGCAAATTTCAGGGACAGAAGTCTCATGAGTGGTCAGTTGGAACAGAGACGTAACAGGATTTTAAAAAGACATCAAAATATCAAAGCTGGAGTTCCTAAATCTTATGTTAGCTTCACAAACACATGTCGTTTGTCTCAACTAGTCCCATCTTGTTTAAGTAACATTTTGTCAATTTAAACCATAACCACATATTTTGCATACAGAGTGCTGATTGGCTGAGTGAGGGTGGTCCGCTATAATTTTTCTGATTGAAAAAGCTGATTTAAGATGTGACAGAGGCCAATAATAAATGCCTATTGATGATCTATTACTTTAAAACTTCTCATTAGCGCTTTCATTTTCGGCTTCTGTTTAATGCGGGCTAGCATTAGTGGGTTATCTATATACAGTATATACCCTGAAGTGGAGGAGCCTCAGCCTTTAGTACATGTTTTTAGTGGTTGAAACCTACGTGAACATGCAAACTCCGCACAGAAAGGCCCTGCAGTGTTGGGGAATCAAACCTATAGGACGTTCTTGCTGTGAGGTCGGAGCTCTTATCGCTCGTTTGTTAAAATGATCACATGCATATGCTTTCAAACATGCATGTTTAGTTAATGCAAATCTTGAAAGCCAACAAAGACTTTTAGGATGTGTAAACACTTCAACTGAAGTAGACTCTGGTGCAGTTCTGTGTACTTGGCCCTATCTATTTAGGTAATATCTATTTACAGTATATAGCGCTTGGAACCATATCTGTGAGGTATTGAGGATTGGTGCAAATAAGTGTAAAGACGCCCTTAGATGCAAGGTTTAGCGCAATTCTGATTGACTGCCAAATCATTATCTGAATATTGTTGTCAAAATATGAAATATTTCTCACTTTTGTCAATTTTGGCCACCCCTAAATGGACGTGTGTTGAAGACTACCTGATTAGTAAACAATGTCATGTCCGTATCACTGTAATAATGTGTGTTGCGATGAAAAAGTCTATTCATGCACTTAATAAATATATGTCTGTTGTTTTTAGTAAATCGCACTCAAAATCTCCACTCTTCAAAACAACAGGAAGTCTGAACTCCTCCATGTGCAGCTCATGTCCCTCAAAGAGAATTAAAATGTACAGGTACAAATATGCAATTAGCGCAGTCTTAGATACACGCAGGCCCCGTCTCCCAGTGCGCGTCTATGTGCTCTGCTAATAACACTGCAATCGCCTTTCTCAATGACTTGGTCTCCACCGACATTATGAATGGGTGGACTTCATGTGCACCTGGTTTGGGAAGGCTCAACGTTATATATACTTCTGCTTCTAAGAGTCAAGTCCGTTGGATTTCTGCACGTTTCTCAGTCTGGTTGTGCCATCAAAGAGCTGGTCGTCGTCCTCTGGATCCCCCATTTCTCCTGCGTCTCCTGTGGAAGTTGAGGGATTTTAGTTAATCGGATCAATTTGGTGTCGGTGTTTGTTTTATAATAAAGATGACTTACCATTGAATTCATAAGACTCAGTGTCTGGAGAATCAGGGAAAATACTCTCATCAAAATCAGACAGATTCTGTAAAAATGACAAAAAGAAAGCTTTTAACCACAGAAAAACTTTGTATTCTAAAAGTTCTTCAACCATTTCATACATGCTGCTATTGTAATACTCAGTGTGAGTTTGGACTGTAAGCAGGACTGCTTAAAAACAAATCGACAGATTGGTCTGAAATTTTGGGTGTAGAAGTGATCCATCCAGGATATGTGCTCTCAAGAGTGCTCGTTCTAGGTCATGCATTGTTTCTTGGCCGCCACGTAATGTGCCAGGGGCTGTGCAGTGCAAGCGTTGCTCGGCTACAGCGGCCTCTGTCCAGCGGCAGCATGAGACAGCAGCCCTTATGACTGCAGCCCCAGCTTTATAGTTTATAGTCACACAGAGAGCAGGGAGAACATTCTGCAGTTCCTAGTGCTCGCTTTCTCCTTGTGAGGAAAAATATAAATACAGCAGTTTACAGGAGAGAGGCAAACAAGTGCCTTTTGTGGGGAATACGTGGAATGAGATACAACACTACACGTAATCTCACATGTACGTCTGCAGCGCACAGTGAAATGATTTATACATTGGGGTGCGCGATATCTATATCAATATTTCCCATATATCGAGACATTCTTTAAACTCAATAGGAAATTTGACATATCGATGTATATTTTTAACTTCTGCCGCTTTCCTCGTCTGTCTTCTCTGCCCTCGCCTTCTTGGCCCCTCCTCCTTGCACTTGCTCCCCCTCCCCTCGTGTGTGTCTCATACACAGTGACGCTGTTCAGCTCGGTGCAGAGACTAAACATGCTTGGAGGCAGCCAACTCGTTTAAAATAATAAGTATAATATAAGACAAAAATCCAGGTGGTGTAATGTCCGTGGCATTTCATACGTGGTTTTATACCAGAGACTGTAGACTTTCTACGCAGCTAAAAACAAAACACAGCTACAGATGAACGAGTCGAGGCATTACTTTGCCATATAAAACAATCCTGCGACTGTGCGATAAGGAGATGTTGTGGAAAATGTTGCAGAAGCACTTCCTATATGCACTGCCTTGAGTTGAGTTGTTTTATTTTTGAATGAAGAGAAGGCAATGTGATTCATTTCTTAATTTATTTTACAGTTACATGATACATTATCTTAATAAAATAAAAAGGCAGATTCACTTTGTTCCTACTTACAGTAGTTTTTTGGGGGTTATTTATCCTGTAAGAATATTGCCCAGTCCTAATATATATGATGTTATAATGATGTAATGGTGCACAGGTTTTATATAACGCTTTTTTGGATGCTCAAAGACGTTTCGTATGGCATTATTCATTCACTCCATACACGGTAGTGAAAAACTAAGGCGACAGTAGCTCTTTTGGTAGAGCATTGGCCTTTGAGCCAGAGGGTCATGGGTTCAAGCCCAACCTTCACCATCGACTCCCACTGTCTGCTGTCGTTGTGTCCTTGGCCGATGGCACATACTGGTTGCCTTGCTTTTGTCAGTGTGCCCCAGGGCAGCTTTGGCTACAGTAGTAGTTTATCACCACAGTGTATGGAGTGAAAGAATAATGACATGTAAAGCGTCTTTGAGTGTCCAAAAAAGCGCTGTATAAAACCAATGCTTTGCTTCTTTTTTTTTAAGAAGGCAACCAGTATGTGCCACTACAACAACCACCACCACCAATAAATGTACGCACACATCAGACTCATTCTAAGGGAAGTGGGTGAAGTGGAAGGACACAACAGTTTGGATCCTGGTAGTCCCCGAGGTTTCCGATAACAGTACTGACCAGGGAGGGATAAGGCTTTCACATGTGGACATCAGGATAAAAAAGGCTGCGAATGACTGGAATTTGAACAGCATGGGCTCGGGTAAAATTCTAAACTACCCAAAGTATCCACAAACCACAATCCACTTTTTGTTGAATTATTCTATACAAGATTAAACAGGTGCATTATTAATATTCTAACAATTCTAATAAACTAACCTTTTGCTTTGGCCCGTATGTTTCTGCATACCACACCATCCCATACAGACAAAGGAATGTAATGAAGGCCTGGAAAACAGTGATTGAATGTTACATTTGAGATGTACACAAAGACGTAGACTCAAAGTTTTCCAAATGCAGCAGAGATCTTACCAAACACAGCAGCCACAGGACGACGTAGAGGACCTGTGTCTTTGAGAAAAGGTCTTGTCCAAATTTAATGCAGGCCAGAGCTTCCAGAAAAGCTATTGCACTGGGGGAAAAAACACAATGATTAAAACTATAATACTTTCCAGAGACAAGTATGCGCAGATCATTCCACAGTAAATCTTGGTAATTGGGTCATGACTTTTGCCTGACTTTTTCTCCAAACACTAGGGCCCAATCAGTTTTACAATTGAATGAGCCAATACGTTACTTTTTTTGTTTATTACTTTGTGCCATCTTCATTAGTTCACACTTTTTGCCATAATACATACAGCGTAACAAGGCATATTTTATTTAATCATTTTTCCCACTATGCTCCCCTTACAAAATAAAATAAAATAAAGGCACAAACAAAACAATAAAATTTATGAAAATAAATGTGTAGAAAAATAATAACAGATGACTATTCCTATAGCTATATGTTATGAGCCAATCATTTACCAATTTCTAAGCATAAAAAACTAGTCAAAATAGAACTTCCAACTTTGTCAAATCCAGCAAAATACATTTCCATAATATGACTGTAGAACACGGTACTTACCCAAACACCCAGCACTGAGTCCCAACTCTCTTGCACTGAGTGTCGGTGAGGTAAGCGTAATACTGCCTGTTAGAGTTAAAAATGATCAGAAATATGTGTAGACGTGTAAAGTATGAACACAGCAGTCTTTACCTTACTGTTGGAGCGGTGATGATACCAACAAATAGAATTCGGCACCAGCTCAGAGCATGACTCGCAGGAAAGACAAAAATATGTTTCAGGAAGAATGTGTTCAACTCCGTTAGCTGTGGGTGAATAAAAAGAGAAGTCAGACTGGACTCGCCCATACACAGATGGACATTGCTAACATAGCCAACATTGACATTCCTCAGTGAAGCCTGATATGGAAGTGCTCATGGACAAAGTTTTGATCCAACCGGCTCCTATTGACTTACATTAAAAAGTAAACGGCTCAAGCTCAGTAACCGTTTGTGCCACACACTTAAAAAATCTGTGGTTACGCACTCTCCTCGATCCAGGGCCGGAGTGGGACAACATTTCAGGCCGGGAGCTTTTCATCCATTCAGGCCAAACAAGGTTCTAAATTTGGGTTTTTGTCATTGTATTTTGATGTTCTTTTAATAGTTTTAAGATTGACTGTCAAAACTTTTGTTTTCTTTATTTTTTTTAATATTGACTGTTTATATAATCTCGGACGTTTAAGGATTGTTGTACGTTGCTTAGCAACGTAACGTTTATGGAGCTTAGTGAGAATAAAGACACACACACACACACACAATGAACTAAGTGTTCATTAGTGTATAACTATAACAAGCTAATCAATTATTGTTAAAAAAGTAGTAAGGTAAAATCACATCGTTACAGCTCATATAAAAGGAAAAATAAAAACGTGTATGAACCATCAGTTGGAGAGACCACTGATTTCAACCGGGGAAGCTACACTGGGTGCACTGCTAGGCTGGCCTGGCTGTGTAGCCGACATGTGACGTCACATTTGTTTAATTTTGCTCTGGCCCAATGACAGTAAAGCTTTGGTCAGTGTTGTGCCAGTTCACAGCTTTTCTGAACAAGTTCAAGTTCAGTTCATACATGCTCAAAGTGAACAGTTCACGTTCGAAGTTCTCAATTTTAATTCTGAACTAGTTCAAAGTTCAGTTCATTTTACTTTTTGCGAGATATTCAAATAAATATTTTTTTTCACTACGAGCTAGAAATCACAATACGTGGTGTATATATATATATATATATATATATATATATATATATTATATCCTGTACACTGCACAGGATGTTTTGACTCCAATGCAGACAAGATTTACATGGGTTTCAATGGGAACTGAGTTGTCCCATCTCTGCTCATAAGTACAAACTGTAATGCGCTGCAGAACGTGTGTCTATACTTTATGTCAAATGTAAACGGCCCTGTGTCACTGACTTACCCTGTGTTTTCATCACGGCACATGTGAGTCCAACAACCAATGAATAGCACTAGCATATAGCGCCGCACCGCAAGTACACTGAGTCGGGGTGCGTTCACAGACGGTGGAAACCGTAGGAATTTTTAGTTTTCAGCGGAAACAGTGCGGAGAATACAGGAGGGAGGAACTTTCTCTCGTTGCGTTTCAAAAGAGAGACAGATTTCACTCAGTTTTAAATGGAAAACAAATTGTCTGCCGTTCATGACACATAATATGAACTAATTCACGTTCAAGTTCTTTATTAAAAAATGTGTTGCGTTCAGTTCAACGTTCACGAAAAAATGAGCGTGTTCAATGAACGCGTTCTTTTGAACTCGTTCACGCACAACACTGGCTTTGGCCTGGGCCTTGCTCATTGGACCAGGCCACCAGGCAGGGTAGGAGTTTGCAAAGACCGTGAGGATGAAATTAAATTAAAAGAAAAAAAAAAAAAGACCGTGATGATAGGGCAGGCCCAGGCCACTTTGACACGCAGGCCACCGGGAGATCTCCCGATGCTCCCGATGGCCAGTCCGGGCCAGCCTCGATCTTTGTATAACCAGAGAAGAGACATAACAACTGACCAATTAGAATCCTTCTGTCACGGGTCTGTTTCCACTTGGAATGAACTTGTGCCACACCTGAATAGCGATTGGTAACTTGGGCGTTGCTACCAACAACCTTTGCGTAGGTTTGGCTCGGCATTCTCGCTCAAACGGCCTGTTCGAGTTCGAATCTGCGTCTTCCATATAAAAGGGTATCACTATGGATGTAATTACCCTTTCCAAATTACAGCAAAAAAGTTGGCCTGAACCCTAACCCAGTAAGAACGCAAACTACATACTAGGTGTGTCACAATTAATTTTATTTATCAAGATCGATCGAGCATCAAAATCAAAGAGAGGATCAACAATCACTGTAGCGCTTTTTGCGGCTATGCACGCATGCCGGAATGGTCGTGGTTAACCCGGAGTATTTAAAGTGGCGGACAAGTGCTTCTGGGTTTTTTTGGTAAACGAGAGCATATTGAAGATAGTGCTTATAATGAGAGGGACAGCAGCAGATCTACTTATTCGGTGGTGGAAAACACTGGATTTAAACATTTAACAAGCATACTTGAGACACGCTACGGTACGCTACAGTGTGCTATAAGGAGATTTTTTTTTTAAATTGAGAATCGAATTGAAACCAGACTAAAATCGGATGTGGAGAGACGTGATACCCCTACTACATACGACTTAACAGGTTATAAAATCTGTATCTTAAAATGAACATTTCTAGCATGCCTTTTTCTTTAGAATAACAAAGTAACATGAAACGGTCCAAAATCGTAAGGGTATAATTGAACATCCCAGCTTTCTCATGCATCACTCATTTAAAGTCATTAGTCACACAACATCCTGGTTTAGATGGACTGCAGGTAACTAGATTAACTGAGTGTCGCACATGTAATACAGAGGATGATCCCGGCTTTAGTCAGCTGGAGGAGGTTTTAGAGGCCGGGCGCATAGACACACCTGCCAGATGATCATGAAGAGATAGACGCCCATCACGCGCTGCAATGAAGACTTGGGGTCGAGCCAGCGCACATACGTCCAGCTCGCCGGAGTGAACTGCAACACTGCTCTTTTGATTTTGCCTGTGGTCGTGTGAATGTCCCTGAACAAGGAAAAACCAAAAGATATTGAGGTACAAAAGGTATTGAGGTGAATATTGAGGTACATTTATTAGCATTTTTTTAAGTATAGTTACCTAGGACTAGGCAATAGTTACAAAAATATCTTTCCATGATCAGCAATATTTAAATGAAGGAATGGGAAAATGTGATTACAAAAATGGCCTCATATGAATGCATGTTAAAGATCATTTTGGTCTGCATTAGGATTCAGTAAACATAATGTATGGCCAAAAGGATGATTCATGTTTCCAAATGTTTTATCCCATTCAAACAGTTATTTGTGATTGTTTTTTTTGTCTTGCCCAATGGCTCCCAGCCATGTCCAATTCTGTTATGAACAAGGAACAAGTCACTCCATCAATGTGATTGTTCAAATGAGTATAAGCATAATAGAAATCTGTAGTTTTATGTGCATTAACATATCACCGGTATTGGCAAACCTTGGTTTTGGTACGATTATTGTAGCTATTATAATCATGCTCAAACTCCCTCTTCAACATAGATATTACTTTTTGATTGCACAACAAATTTACTTTATTTATCTTATTTATGTATGAGACAGCTCCACTAACGTACCACTACATTTAGGCTTTGACATTAAACTATGCAGAGTACATTTTACATGATGTTGGGCTTATTATGTAACTTTATACACATTTATATTACAGCTTGTTTTATCTGCGGTCATTGAGAAAGTGTTAATAGAGCCACATACTTGATACTGGCCCAGTGATAAGTCCTCATCTCCAAAAAGCGGCACACAGTCATCCCCAGCCAAATGCCTCCTCCGTTACAGAGCAGAATGTCCAGTATGACTTGATCCCACCAGCACTCGGCAAAATTAGGCAGAAGATGCATGAAAAAAAGCTGCACAAAGAGACCACATGAGAGAAATGTTCATATTCAACATAAATAGAAATACCAAAAAAAGGGCCGTACCTCTGTGAGTTCCCAAGTGATACTGATAGTCCAACACAGGCCGTAGCTTCTAATGAGGAGGGCTTTCATTCCCCAGCCCCAAAAGTGACTGAATGCAAAGATGTCGAAATGACTTAAAATTCTCTCCCAAGAAATATCATGGCAATTCACGGCATATTCCTGCAGAGAGAAACAACAGTCAGGCTAAATTCAGACATAAAAATGGTACGTGTGCTCCTTACCATTATATCTGCTTCTCTTTTGGCATAGCGCAGGTTTTGATCCAGCCAGTACATAAGGTGCTTAACCTGCTGCCAGTTGAGGAATATGATAAATACCAGGAATAGGAAGTAGAGGACACTCAAACCTAGGAAAAAAGCCAACAAGATAAATGTGTAATTTGCTTAAAATATAGGCTTGCACTGATCCCAATAGCAGCTTTCAGTAACGACGTTTGTTGGACCTTATCTCTATTGAATATCAGAGTCTTTAAATCTGGGGGACTCAACTTTCAAACCACAAAAAATAACTAATAAAGTCTATCCAAATAGTTCTTTACTCTCTAAACAGTTTGGTGCCACCACTAGTTTCCGCAGGCATTTGCTTGGGCTCAGACACATCTTTAGACCAGCATTTTTAGAAATCTGAAAATGTTTTAATATGTTTCGTAATAAGTTAGCCGAGAACTGTGATTTGAAAGAATTGCATTGCGTAAGAATGGTGCAATACAAATACAAACTTTCCTTTGGCCAGAACATAAATGTTATTGTAAAGTTTAATGTTCAAATTTCAATCCGTTTTTTTATGTTATACAGTGGGACTCCCAGAGGTTTCTCATTTTCTCCCTGGGCTTTCAAGAGTTTTTCCCGCATCGACAGGTCTCAAGACAGGGGTGATAATTGACACATTTTATGGACATTGGTCATCTGCCCCTCATATACATCATTGCATTTCCTATGTTTAAACGGTTTGATTATGTGACCTACGTTTGCGAGTCGACAGCTCGCCAACACAGAGATACTGAGATACTGTATGTTTTATAATAACATCAATATCTTACAATTGTCTGGTATAGATGATCCAAATAACTTTATTGAAATCCACCAGACACACAAAAACAAAGACAAATAAAACATTTAATATAGGATGTAATAACGATGGCTCATTAGAAGTAATTGTACTTATCTTATGATTAAAACAGTTCTGTAAGGTAAGAACACCAGCAAGTTTTTTGTCAAATCCTTGAACACAACCTTGAACACACTTCCTGGTTCCTACACTGGCATCTTTTCATATCGAGTTACAGTGACGCTACAGCCAAAGTATCGGGACTGCAAAAGCTGTAAATGTGCTGTATAAATTAAGTTGACATTCACATAAAACAGATAGGAGAACCTTCCCACAGTCTCACAGTGGGGAAATTATAAATACTTCTAGAAAATTATGCTACTGTTAGGGGAAACGATACATATGGGACTAAAGTGGTTGTACTTACCAAATACTATTCGCCATATGGCTGGATGTGGTCTGGTGAATGGACCTGAAAGGAAAATATAAAACATTATTATTCTATAAATAAGATATATAAATCAATGAAATCATCTTACCGTTTGGAAAAGCCAAAACACTGATGACCAGAAAGAATGAGATGACCAAAATTAGCCCCACCCAGAGATTATTGTCAAGATTGGCATCGTCTCTAAAGATACAAAGAAAAGGAAACAATGTCATTCACAAAAACGCATGTCACTTGAGCCTTTACTGTGAACACAACACCTTCCGCTTCTACTGTTGCTGCCGTTTATAGTATAATACAATGTCAACATTACATTATGCATTATTTACCTGCTGACCGGCTCTCAAAAGACGTATGTGAAATAGAGACACATTCTGATGGACGGTAAACAAGCGATAATGACCCGAAATAGTTACAGTATAGCAGGAGAATACCTGTAAACCACTTTTTAATTAAGCAGCAGAATTAAGGAAAACTTGGCCATAAACTGACTTCATAAATCCTTGCCAGCTCATAATAATGTTATTGTATTACAAAAAAGGTTCTATTCCCGATTGTATCAGCTTTAATTTATTGAACAGTATCCTTAAAACTTTTTTTTATGAGTTAAACATGGAGAGTAAAACTATTTGTTGACATACGTAATATGTCATGTTTGAGAGATTAATTCAATTGAGCAAAATAAAGTATCATCCCTGTTTAACTTTATGTTTATATTGATTATTTGTATGTCAAGTACTGATTGATGAAGCCTGAGAAGATGCCAAGCAAACCACAAACTGGGCCAAAACTTCAGTAATGTACACAGAAATTTGTAATTGACCAATTCAATTATGAGAGTATATGGTTGTAGTTGCATGAATCATAAGTGTTGAAAGACGTGTTTATTGCGTAAATTGCGATACACTTTAGAAAGAGTTCCTTTTATGTGGATGTGAAGAACTCTGCGCCACTTCCTGTAAATGTCAACATACTTTCCCACTTTTCTTCACAGACTTAATCTATTTTTGTGTGAAACTGCCATCTATATTTAAACAAATGTCATTCGACCAAAATACATCATAATGATAGAATATTAAAACCAGTGATGCGTACTTTAATAATTAGTTAAGCTAATAATCTTGACATCCTTGTGTGAAGATCCTCGTCTAATAATTAACATGTTCACAATAATGCACTGCAGGATTCATTGCTACAACAGTACACTTCATTTCCCTGCACATGACCTGTAGCTGTGACAGATTAACTAAGTCGTCTTGAGTTAATCCTATTATAGCTGCACGAGTGCGGTTAAAAGTCAAGAGGAGCTAAGTAGCCTCTAGCTAACCTCCCTGTCCGTGGATGTCCCAGCAGCAGCATCACTGTCACCACAAGCTAACGATGCTAACGATGCTAACGATGCTAACGATGCTAACGATGCTAACGATGCTAACGATGCTAACGCTAGCATCAAAACATTTATCAATCAATCAATCTTTATTTATAGGGCGCTTTTCCTGCACAGGGCAACACAAAGCGCCTCACAATCCACACCACACAATGCACAAATCATCACCATTAAAATTTACCTGGTGAAGACGAAATACATCAGGCTCAGCACAGTGCATGTTAGCAGCGTGATCGTGTGCGGCTTGTAGAAAAAGTCCAAGGTGATATCCTCCACCTGCTGCTCGTTGATCATCCGAAAATGCATTCTGTAGTTCACATCATCCTTGCTGAGGGTGTGGGAGCCCCCCCGGTACGCGGCCATAACAAGCGGGCAGGAGCTCTTCAGTGGCCGCTCATCCAGAGAGCTCTCCCCGGGTGGATATGGGAGCTTACACGGCCCGATGCCACATTTCGGAGGAGGAAAGGGAGTTATAGCGAAGCAGAGATAGTTCTATGAGAGGACTGCAGTGTTGAAACAGAGCTGACAGGTCTGTGAAAGTTAAAGTTCTTGGTTGTGATTGGGTGCGCCGCTATTTTAGGGAGGGTCCCAAAGCGGAAGACATCACCCACCCGTGTTTTTCCCATGGATCTATGGTTTTTCCCTAGTTTTCCTCCCCCATGTCATGTGCCTTGAGCCATGACCCTCGACTGTAAGGGTCAAATGGAACTTTAACTTGATCCAAAACATTTACAGAAAAATGCGTGACGATCACACAACATGTAGTGACAGCTCCATAACATCACAACACCAAGCAGCATCCGCGTCACAGTCTCCCTCGTGTGGCTGCGCTTTTAACTCCACACACATTGAAATTCTACATTCTGGTAAAAACTCCATGAAAAATTGTCCTGGGGGCAAGCTGGAGACGCTGAACTTCAAAGGGCAAAGCTGTTGATACATGAGCCCGCAGTTCAACAATAATGAAGGAAAATAAATCTTCAACTTGAAAATGAAGCCATGTTTGAAATGAATCACAGAAAATATTCAAAATACAAATTCTTAGCAAATGTATTCATTGTGGTATTGATCATGCATTATAGAAAATAGAATTGTTTTTTGGGGGCATGCGAGCCCATCTCACCCATTTTTTCCCCCATTATGTTAACAAACACCGACCCCTACAAATAATCAATCAAAATAAATCAGAGAGAGGCTCAAGAATAGTGTGAAAGCAGAAATATACATGATTTTTATCTTTTATATATTTAGTGTGAGAGCGAAACAGTTAAATTCCTGAAAAGTTTTTCATTTAAAGTTAAAAATATAAAATAGTTTTTTGTTAAAAGGTCAATCACATTGAATGTTAAAAATTGTTAAAACCCTAAAAAGTTAAAGTGAAACGGTTAAAATTCTTAAGTTAAAGAAAGATTCTAAAATGTTATAAGTTACTGTAAATCTCATAATGATTAAAAACTGCAAAAGATAATTGCAAAATACCTATGTTTAAAAACAGCTTGAGCAGCTTTAAAATCAGAGACTCTCCCATCATTTAGTCTGCTCCGAGGTCATCAGCTTGAGTTTGAGTTCAGGTGTGGGACCATAGACTGCGGGGACCATGGGAGCACACAGATTTTCTACCTGCAAACTGTGGAAGACTGTAATGTTCATTTTTTGTTATTATTATTTTGTTCAATAAATGGACTTAAACAGATTACGTCTCCCTGGTCTCAGTGTCAGAAGAACTTTTGCATCTGGCTCAGTGTGGCTGTCTTTAAATGAGCCACCACATTTTGTGAAAAAAAATAAGAAAAACTGGAGTCAAACATTTTGAACTCAGTGTATTATCAGTCAATGTGATGTTTCTGATAGTGTTGTTGCTTCATGACGGTGACTGCGGAGACTGGAGATGGCAGATAACACATATAAACCAATACACTTGCCCACATGCCAGGGACTGATAGGCAATCCGTTTTTTTGCTATGACCTGCTTCAATCTTTTTCAAACTAAACCTGCATTTTTATCGGAATACGTTTAGAGATATTTTAAGTATGTTTTTGTTCTTATTTGATTTGGTGCAATTACAAAATAAAGACAAAAAAAATGTCCAATGTCTTATAAATCAAACAATCTCTCTCTTATCAACAGCCTGATTAAAACAGGCCGACTCAACGACAAAACTTTTATTTTTATTGCCTGAGTTATGTGATCTTGATAGACCAATTTGACTTTTTGACACACTGACATGCAACTGTTTATTTTTTATTTTAATATTTAGTTAATTCCAAAGAACAGTAGGACAAGAATTTGCACATTCATTTGCGTACAAAATTAACTACAAAAATATGTCAAAGCACATCTGTCTAAAGTGTAGCGATGAGAATACATTTCCTTCAGTCCCCTTGCTTGAGCAATACTGTGGGCTGCAGGAAAAAGATACAATGCGATGAAATAATGAATTATGTCTTGCAGAAGTTTCTACTATCTTAAAGAAGTGGTCATACCAGGCTGTTGAAATGCTCCCTGCACACAGCTTTACTCAACCAGTACATGAGGTAAATGGCAATGACATCCTGCAGAGCCAGAAGACCCATGATGAGAGCGTTCACTCCCCTATAAAGCTTTGCCAACAAATGAACGCAAGTCAAAAACAAAACAATTTATGTATTTCAATGCATTTGATGTGAATGATCAGCTGTTTACCTTTTCCCCCTCAAAGTTCACAAACCAAATGATGCACAAAGAACAATCTGTGATGGCCCAGAGGAAGCTCATGATGTTGAGAAAGAATGACAACTTGGTCTAAGAAAGTAAATAATATTGTTAATTCAAAATGGACCAAAAATGACAAAAAAAAAACGTGAACATGATCTTAGTCCAAAATCTTCTTGATTTGAGGAAATGTTGACTATCCGATATATTTGCCAATGAACTAAGCTCCTATAGCCTTATCACGATCAATCTGCTCCAGTCCTCATTCTACAGTCTGAATCCTGTATCTGTGTCACTGATCCGTCTCTCAATAGTGGACGGTTTCTCACTTTTGCACAGTTTTGTTGTTGTTGTTGTTGTTCTTCGCTGATGCAAAACGGTGATGATCTGGGACATTCATGTGCATTTATTGGCATCTAATAACATTATGAACATGGACCAATGGCTCTATGTGTGCATTATTATTGCATTTCCTGTGTTCAAACTGTTTAATTCTTGAATCGACTCGTATTCTTTGTAAAAATACATTGAATTTAAATGTATTTCAAGTATTATGTTTTTAAGCAAGGCTTGACTCTTTCAATGTTTAACTGTAACAAAACTTTTCTTATTTGATCTATTTGTCAACATATACCCAAATAAAGATAGAAATGACTCAGTTCTAGAATATATTTGTAGATGCAGTAATTGTGTATGTAATATATGTTATACTCTGATCAACATACCACCAGCATGTTTGGAAACTGCCCTGCAGCGAACGTTAGCAGGCCACAAACCATGAACTGTATTAAAAAACAAAAACGTAGGGAGTAAATGTCATAAATCAGTTACAATTATAGCTATTTCTGATCAATAATCGAGTTTACCAAAACACTTGGAATGGTGGAGATCCGCATGATGATGTCTGTCTGGAAAGCCAAGCCCAAAACGAGAAGGAAAACTCCAGTGACGGCTTGAGCGGCCTGTGACCACAACGCACACATGTTCACATCAGTTAAATCAAACGTAAAACCTTTTTGGAATGTGCATGAACCAACTTCACCTTTTGTTAAAGAGAGGACGTGTCTAAAAGGGAATATATTTTCTAACCTTACTATTTCTATCTCTGTAACTAAACGCATAAAAAAATTTGTGTAGCAATTTAGGCAAAACTACAACAACTAATATTGACTTCCTGATTGATATGAATGAATGAATTTGTGTGGCTTTTGTTGTCATTCTGTCCAGGATTAACTTGGGGAAAAAAGATGTTTAATATCAATGAAATTTCACTGGTTAAATTAGAGGGGAAAGCACTCCTGAAATAAGTATTTGACGGATGAAAACACAGTCATTTGTATTTAGAACACATTAAATAAATGGTGCCAAATGGATTTACAACATACTGTATCTTTAAACTTTTCTCCACAGAAAAACTGTACAAAACTGCATTTGAACTCGGGTTAAATGTGAATGTGTGAACTTTATAATCAAATCCTTTCACCACCTTCTGCCAAAGAGAAATAGTCAAGAGCATAATGTATGACACATCTCAGCCGCAGTGTTAATGGCTCCAATAATATTTTCTATATTGATATTATTTCTTTATATTAGGATTGGAACAACGCATTGTACCACATTGGTAGATCCACCTGTTCCACGAATGCAATAATATCTTCTATTTATGCATAACATTTCTGTTGTATTCAATGGTTGAAGCGGGTCTGCTTTAAAAAAATAAAACAAATAAAAAGTAGACTTCAAACCACTGAAAAAAACAAACAGTAATAAACCACAAATTGAGTACATTGTTGAATACAACATTTTCATGAAGTACAAGCAGTCTTTTTTCAAGCACATTTGCAATTTTGTTCTTAATTTTGAAGGAGAATTGACTTGTATCTTTGACAACAAGCCATTTGTGCGTGTCCCATTGGCAAATGTAGTTGTAAGAAAATCCAGTCCAATAAAAAAGATAATAATAATAAAAATACATTTAAAGAAAAATCTAAATTCAAAAAATGTTTGCTACTTTTTTTACTGTTCCAATCCCTGTTTTGACTCCTTTTAGCTGCTCCCAGTTGTGATGAAAACTATAGAACTGCAATGTTGTGCAGTCACCTGAAACTCAGCAACATAGAGAAGGCAAAATGAACGCACCCCGAGCGCTTTAGGCTTTCCCTTCTGCACAAAGATCTTGAATGCATCTTTGAAGACGCAGTAGAACTTGTCGGGCATGAGCTGTCCTTCTCTGGCGCCCTTCAGGCTTCCGATGGGGATGGTCAGGATCATGGTCTCATCGCACACAAATGTTGTCTTCTTCATGATTGAGCTACGTCTGTGACTTTGGTGAAATGTGAAGTTTCTGAAAAATGAGGTCATGAAGGAAGTGACCGGCCACAGCAGCCTGTATCTCTGCTCTCTCTCTTCTCACACATTAAAAAGTTGTAGGTGCGCACGACACTTATTGGATGCTTCTTTTGGTTAAAAGCAGTGACAGGTAATGTGTGTATTTTATTTTTGCTTCAAATGTATTATTAATTAAACATTTCTATTTTCAATGTTTTCTCATTTTGCTCAAACAGCTGAAATTCTCAGAGTGGGCTTGCCTCTTTGCTGATATAACCCTAACACTACTAAAGCTAGGGTACCTAACTTTCAGACCACAGAAAATTGTGCTTTAACCTACATAATCTAACTCAAATGCAGATAAAAGTATGTAATGCCCTACTGTGTAATTCCAACATTCAGATGGACCCAAGCAAGAAGCAATTTAATTTTGTAGAGGAATAAGCTCAAATTATTATTATTATTATTATTATTGAATTATTTCATAAATCGCTCATTCTTATCAATACAAAACAACTCCATAAAACTTCTTGCTTTCATCGACAAGTGCCCAATGCATGTTCAGTTGACTACGAGGTCTGAGATCATGCCCCATTTTTATTTTACATTTTTGTATGACCTTGTCTTTTGTGTAAATATTATGTAAGGTACCGGTTTTGTTTGTGTTGTTGCATTGAGAATAATAATAATTTAAAAAAAATTATAATAATAATAAGAGTTTTGACTTCCTGATTGTGATAAATGACAGAGGGTTGTGGAAATGGATCTATAATAATAACGGTTGTGGGGTTGTCATCTTGTCCAGGACAGACAGTGAGATTTCCTGGGATTAATAAAGAGGCATTATAATTTGACAGATGAAAAGAGAGAACATAGTTATTTTGTGTTTAAAAAGTCACACTAATTAAAATTGGGCTACATGTTTTACGAACTGAGTTGAGGGCCCTCTGAGAAGCCTGCATGAAATGGCTCAGATAAATATGGTCATGGACAGTGCGGAGGAAGTGAATGTGACATGTTAGAAATACAAGGGAAGTGTTGTGTGTGGTAAAGACCGGAGCGCCGACAATCGCACAGAAACACTGCTACGGTGAGACACGCGTTTAATGAATTATGTTTGAATTCTGAGAGCTAAGAAAGTCTGCCATAGGTGACAACAAAAGACTTCTCTGTAAACTCGAAACCTATATAAAAAAATCACAGTAAAATGCCATGATATTGAATTTTTGCTTAGGAACAAAATACACATAAAAACTTGTGAACGACATGTAATATTTGTTGTTGATAAATTTGTTATGTTCTATTATATTTTGCGTTAAACTAGAAATTAATTGTACCAACCATGTTTCTTGTTCCATTTTCACCATTCAGACTGATGTTTAAAAATATATATTTTTGTTTCTTGTTTATGTATTGTATTGTATTATGTCTGAATGGGAGGGAGTTGTATAAATATTAACTTTTTGCATCATCCAATCATTTTTCAATCCATGTACATGCATTTTCTGCTTTTAGTAATTCATTAAATTTTCCGGTGAATAATTGATTGTGTATATCTTATCTATACATTGAAAAAAAAAAAAATACATAAAAAAGACCATGCGTAAATGATAAGCTTTTGAACTAAATAAAAAAAAAATCTTGTATGTTTTGATAGTGGACGTTTGACATTCACGCAGACATAAAATCCTGTATTAGAAAAACCAAAAGAATTATATTTATTGGCACTTTTACACTCTGGTATTTCAGTTAAATTCACGTTATTCTCCTTCAGAGCGTGACCATGGCCTCTAACATGGAGCTGGCCATCGATGCCCTGGAGGAGCTGCCCTTACGGAGCAGGAGGAGGGGGGAGGGCGAGAGAGTGTACCAGGCCCTGGAGCTCGTCCCGGACAGAGAGGGTCCAATGCACAAGCTGATCCAGAAACAGCCGGCTGTGCTCGGGGTAAGAACTCAGGGATGCAGGTCACATGATCATGCCGACCTCACATGTCATGCATCGGTGCAATATCTTGAACTAATGTCAGAATGTGCATGTTGTAAACACAAAACTATATATTTACATTACTATTAAATGTTGCATAAACTATATATTACTTGCATTAGAACATACAGTACTTAATACTTGCTTTTTATTATGCCAAAGGTAGAGATTGTGTACTTCTTTATTATGTTAAAGTCAGAGTTTTTGTATTCATTATGCTAAAGCTAGAGATGTTGTACTTGTTTCTTCTTCATGCTAGAGTTAGATATTGTTAATTTATTTCGTCTATTTAGTATAGAGGGATTGTGGGACGAATGAAAGATCTCTTAATCTTTTTATTCAATTTTCTATTTTTTTTCTTACTGTTGTTTATTTGGATGGAACAGTGCGTATTCATGAATTTCCATCTGTAGATCCAGAGTTGATCTCCCAAACACAAACTCTCATTCAACCCTCACCTTTTGTACATGTTTTTAGTGGTAGGGAAAACCGGGGCACTCCAAGGAAACCTAGGCAGACATGGGGAGAACATGCAAACTCAACACAGAATCTTAATCCCAATGCTGGTGTTTTAAAGTTACCGGAATGTTGAGGCCAAACCAACTGTGTCCTTTGTATTTATGAACCATGTTTGAATCATATTTCTTTATCCAGTTGTTACTTCAGTATAAATGTCAGTAATTAACATATGTTTTATTTGTTTATTTATTTATTTCAACATCTTCAACATAGAGATTCCATGTCCCCCCCTGTTTTAGGTAAGATGTATATATATTTTCGATTCTATTGGCTTAAAGGTGCGGTAAGCGATGTTGTTAGCTTAGCCGTAGCACCAACTCGAAGACCCCCCTCGCCTCTCCACCAAACCAAACATCCAGCATTTCTTTTCTTTGTCACAACAGGGAGAGTAGGTGGCAAAAGTGAAATTGGCACGTTCTGTTCAGGCATTCAAGGTTTTAGAAAATAATCCGCTAACTCAGGTGAGCGCACTTGCGAGAAACAGGAAGAGGGTCCCACTCGTCCCACAGTAAACGCATCCCATTGGTTTATTTTTATCGGTTCGCTCTAAAAAAAAAAATGTTTTATTAATTTGTGTAGACTTTAGGCATCTGGTCAATTCCATTACTACTTGAAAACACATTACTTCTTTTAGGGTTTGGGTGTAGGGTTTTCCCACAATGTTTAAAAAAATGTGTGTGGAAAAAAATCACTGACTGCATCTTTAATTCCACAATATTGAGTAAATCATTCTTTGGATTCATTTAATCATAAATCATGACTCGAAAGTTAGAAGTATAAATTCAGAGTGTATGTTTGACACTGTGGTTTCTATATGATCTAACATTGTGAGAATAGAAAGTACACTGATTATTTTCAAATGCCGTGCGAGTTGTTGAGTCCTTTATGTTTTTTTTTTTAAAATCTGCTTTTATTTCAATGATCTTTTAAATGTTCTGTTTTTTCTGATCCTTTTTGATTTGACTGTTGTTATAGTTGTAAACTAGAAACAGCATATCTGTTTTTGTTTTTTTTACTAGTATTTAGTTTATGAAATGTGTCTTTGGATTTGTTTCTGCAATGGTATGAATATGAATCCAGTGAGCGGAGGTTGGCAGCCTCACTTTCAACATTTTACCCCACGGCTGCTGTGGCCACCATTGTGTGTGGACAGGAGTCGCTGAATAATGCCCAAGGTGTTCTGAGGCTTTTATAAATAGATATTACTTGACACAAAGTAAGAGTCCAGCCAGGTCTTCTGATAGATTCTTTTTTTAAGATGGGGACAATTTTGTATGATGTGATAAAGAAGCAAGTATAAAATCTATAACTTTAGCATAATAAAGAAGTAAATATATAATCAAAGGTGGAGTACAAAGGAAGAGGGAACTTAATGACACTTCAGCACAATTGTATTTTCCTTTTTGGAATTGGCTTGTATGTGTGTTATTTTTCTTTGTGTGTTTTTAAATGTGACGCGCTTTGTAATCCTGGTCTGCAAAAGGCGCTATAAAAATAAACTTTACTTACTTACAATCAGACTTTCTTTTGCAAAACACTGTGATCTGTTGTGCTGAGGCCTGTGTGTGGTTGCAGTCGCTGCAGGTGGTCAGTGGTCTGCTCAGTGTGGGAGTGGGCATCATGGTGGCTGTGACCCAGGACATCGACTCTTCTCTCTTGTCCCTGTTCAGAGTCCCATACACCACCGGAGCTCTGGTACCTGACCTCTACAGTATGCCTCAGCGAAGTGTGTAGAACTTCAGATAGTACCAATGTTCATGTTTTAATACTAGAACTACCACAATTATGAAACTACTAGAACTTCCAGAGCTGTTAATGAATTATTAGAAGGAACCCCAATAATAATTAGTTCCCCAATTTTCTAAAAGTAAGTAATTTATATGGTTTGTACCGTAACCTATGACCGTAACTCACTTTTATTGGTGAGTATAACTTTAAAAACAGCAAATCAATTTGTTGGAAGGCTAATGCTAACTGCTGGCAGTGAACTTCAGGTTGCTATAGTAACCAGCACTTTTCTCTGGTGAAAAACCAATCTGACTCGGCTCAGAACCAGAACTAGTTCATGCCAAGTCCAAGACCAGTCCAGGACCGGTCCATGATTGGTCCAGGACCAGCAGAGTACCAGTACAGTACAAATCGTACTGTGAAAAAGGCCTCCAACTACCGCAGAAAGTCGGTTATCAAGCAATCTAAATTTGAGTTTTACATTCAAATAAACAAAAGGTAGAACTCCTCACATTTAAAAGAGTAAAATATAATTTCATAATTTCATGCGTTCTAGTGTTAAACTGCAATAAATAACAAAGTTCTTGAAGTCAGTTGATTTTATATACTATTCATGAGTTGATGTGACATTACGTGATATCTTGTTTTCTTTGCTAAAATAATACATTTCTAATTTTCATCTGAAAGTAGGTACAAAAATGCTGTTGCCGTGGCTTGTTTGATCTGCATATTCTCAAAATATCACAAATATTAATATTGCAAAATTAAAGCTCCCAATTACTTTTTAAATTTCTTTAGCATTCCACTTGGTATTTCTTACAAATTTCTGTCTGGTATGTTGTAAAAATGGATTAATGTCACTATGACAGTATCACAGTTTGTTAGCCTGTATTTTACTGTAGGATATTTAAGCCTCATAGTGCATATTCTCTTCTTCAGTTCTTCATGGCCGGCCTGGTCTCAAGTATGTTGTTCAAAGGCCCTGAGTTAATTCCTGTAAGTAAACAATATTCATGAATTATCTTTTATCTGTAAAAGTCAAAAATCAAAAAAATGTCTATTTTGGTTGTTTGAGATCTCCCTGGCGATGAACTGCGGCTGCCTGCTCGTGGCCTTTGTCACTGCTCCTCTGATCATTGTGGACTTGTCTAGATGGGACCAAAACAGTGAGGAATATTCAAAGGTAAGATATGAGTGAAGCTACTAAAAATGCGCTGAAATGAATTGTAAATGTAAATGTAATGTAAAATGTGTTGTCTTTTGTCAGATGGAGGTGTTTGAACTGTGCATCTTGGTGCTGGAGTCTATACTCTCCATAGTTCTGTGCGTCTGGTTCATCAAAGAAAAGCGTACATTTTCACCATAAAATGTATTAATATTTGATTTTTAAATGTGTCGACAAGAATTGCATGAAGAAACCGAGAGGAGAAAAAAAAGAAGTACAATATTTAAAACCACTGGCACAACCACAGAGCAGTAATCAGCTCTCTGCCCAAAGAGGCATACAGCGACTGAAAATAATATACATTTGTAAAATATGACATGGTATATTTCTAACCCTGTTCACTCTTTGAAGAAAGCAATTTATCTTCTTTTGATTATCTAAGACGTAGATCTATTTATGTATATATAAATATTTAACCAAGTAATAGAGAGGCCCCAATCAAGGTAGATTTCAGTTTGAATATTCAAGTAGATATGTAGATACTGTGTGTACATGTTCTTTGAAAACGGGTTTCTTGGTATTAGCGAGAAAAAGTGCTTAGTCTAAAATAGGGAACTTGAATGTATAAATAATTTTAAAGTCGAATCTAGAAATCCTGTAATTTATTTTGTCTCAATTGCCTCTAGAACAAGCACTTGGGTCCTGGCTATACAAGGAGAACACAATCGACGTCTAACTGGACTAAAAAATGCTACTACGTTTGAAATAGGACTAAAACTGCTTATTCTTTTGGCAAATCTTGTTCTACAAAACATGTTCAATCTTTTTCATCCATTTTGCAGTGTGCTAATCTCCCAGCGTATGAACTGTGTACAAAGCAAATGTACAAAGATAAAAGCTATTCTTTATCTGGTGTCAATATATCCTGAGCCTGTTTGTGTTATGCTCTGCTGCTGCACTAATAGTTCCTCTGTGGTTTGAGTCTCTGAACAATAAGCGTGCGGTGAGAGATGTCAGTTTTTCAAATGCTGAAGTTAAAACCACTCGCTTCTGTCTGCGCTCGTATGAAACTGCCCAATGTCCTCAGGTGTGAGGTTGTGTGGTTTCATACTTGCGCTTTAGAAATAACCTTTGTCTGCAAAATAAATGCCAGTTAAAGGCAGACTATGGGCCCTGGTGTTTAAATGTTTGGACCTGTTATCTATTCACATAGCAAAGAAATAAAAAGTGAATATTTAGTAGTATTGGTCAACAATGATTCTGATCTGCCACAGGGACAAACAGAGTTGGTCCTATTTCTACCACACTACAATATTTTTCTTGTTTCAGGTTTAAATGTAAAGCAACAGTAAGTAAGTGAGCTGGAACATCACTTATTATTCTAGTGAAATAAAATGCAGAATAGTGAATCGTATACTGCACTTTTCAATGGACCCAAAGATGCTTCACATGAGCTGCATTTCCATCACAGGAGTTCCTGGTAAAAGGAGCAAGGTGGAACTTTTACTGGAACCTTCCTCTCCCTCGGTCCTCTCAGTGTCTGTGTCTCCACTGTAGGACCACCTGGCGACGTTATATGAGTTTTGATAGCCGCATAAGCGAAACTCATTACGTCAAACCCGTTATTATTATAGATCCATGCCCCAAACCCATTTGTTTATTTTACGTTCTTAACCGCTCCGGTTGTTGTGGTTTTTTATAGTCCTGCTTCAGTTTTTTAAAACTTTTCACGGCTTGTTTTGGAGTGTGATGAATCCTCAGTGCTTCGAGGTGAAACTGATATGTAAATATAAATTTTCATTTCGCCACGATGCCTCAAACGGCGTGCTGTTGTTCGCTGTTTCCATTGGTGTATGCTAGGCTAATGCTGCTGGGCTAATGCTACTAGGGTAATGGTGCTAATCATAGACATATATATTCTATATATGTCTATGGTGCTAATGCCCTTTGTTTTGGTGCTTTCTGCTGGTGTCAGAGCCTGCGCTAGCTTTAGCCAATCAGCGGCGGGTTAACCTCAAGTCCCACCAGGGCCAAACAATGTACATACCATGGAGGAGGGACTTCGTTGGGCCCCGTAAAAGTTCCTGTAAATGGCCTTGTGGGGAAAGTTCCTGCAGTGGAGACGCGCACTGACGGGGCTGGTCCAGGAAAATTACCCCGAAGTTCCTGTAGTGGAAACGCGGCTATGGCATCTCCATATTCTCTGTACACCAAGGTGGTACACAACTGTTGTTCACTGGTCACAACTTACACTGTCCTTAAACAGCTTCAGTCGCCCGCTGTGTCACCTGTTCCCCGGTCTCCCATAAGGGTTAGGGTTAGATCTGTTAGCTTCTGAGATCTGACGGGATCAAAAGTTAAAATAAGTGCAATGGGGAAACGTTAGTCTGGCCTCAGGCATCCGTAAACCCCGGTCAATGATTATTTCCTACATGTACGTCTGGGTCTGATCCTAATGGCTGCGGTTACTTATCCCATCCGACCAATCAGCGAGCCAAATAATGGTAATAATTAAAACAAAAATCCACCAGATGTGAAGAGATATTGAAGAAGTGAGTCGACATTTACAATCCATTTATTCGCCTGTACAGTGTTACAACAACATGAAACTTGGACATTGAACAGGATCCGCTACAGAACACTTAACTGCTGCGTTATAAACAAAGTAAATGTACAAACTGTTGGAAGTACCGAAAGTCTTAAACACGTGTGGTTGAAATCCTAGTGCGATGGACCACTTCACTTCATGTTGCTCCGTCACAGGACGTCCAGCTCCAGGACTTCACAGCTGCAAACACAAAGTCACAATAAGTCTCCTGTTTCTATGACAACTGCTGAAATGTTGGTCTTTTGTCCCGTAAGCCCTAGTCCCAACACAAACCTTAAAAAATAAGAACAAAACAACCAGTCTTTATCTTGTATTTATTAATCTTATATCTTTCTCTTTGACACTTTGGGATGAAATCTGACTGAAAAAGCTGATCTAAAGATGTGACGCAAAAATACATGTACTGTATGTGAAAACTAGAGATTGAGTGAGGAAACAGTAGCTTTAACCTGATTATGTAAATATAATGGGTACACAAAAGCAAACCAACAGATTATTTCTCAACCCTTGTAGCTAAAAACATGGAGGTTATTGATAGAAATTGTGGGTTCTCTAAATGTATTGTTTGGGTAGTTTTTTAGAAATTGATGGCAACGACTGGTTGAAAGCTTATTCTTTATGAGTTTAACATGTAAAAAGACAGAATAAAAATAAAAGCAGCATGGCCATGCCCGTAAAAAAAATAACAAAAAAACGTCATAACAAAAACACAAACCCCAAAACAATAGAGGAACAACACAATATCACAGCATATCCACCATGCAAATATAATGTAGGTCAGACAAACATGCTTCCACCATGGACAAAAAGCTTTCTCAAATCAGAAGGGTAGAAGTATTTAAAGGAAACCCCCAAACCAAAAGCAACAGAGCTGCACGAACAGAGATCAGTCCTGAACACCAGCAGTTAGTGATGAAGCACGAGTCCAACACCAGGAACTTACTGAGCCACAGTCAGACCATCGTGGAGAGGCTCCGAGCTAAGTGAGCCGCTGTGCTCTGCTGACACAAGACACAAGAGCAGAGAGTGAGCGGCCTGCGGGTCTTCACTCTCACTGTAGTGATCATGAGCGGGTCTTCACTCTCACTAGGTCCACGTGTCTATGCAAAGCACTGTGCAATTTATGTGTGGTATGAAGAACTTTATAAGAAACATTTTCAATTCACTTATGACACATCAAGTCATTCCTTGACCTCGAGCCGATGGGTGTCCTGGTGCCACGTGCACATAGTGTTCTGGTACAGACGTCCAATCACTGAGCTCAGTCGGGTTCGAATTGGGGGCAGCACTTCCTGATCCCCGTCTCCAGGTGTCACTGTCCCAAAAGGTCACGCAGGTCTGTGCAGTGTCCAAGAAGGTCAGGTACTAGTCTCAAAGAGTTCAAACCAGTCTCAGAGAAGGGGGTGAGCCTGTATGTCTCTACCTTCTGCCCCGTCAGACAAGAGACGATCCATGGCCCTACAGCCAGAATCTGAGTCTGAACTGGGGCAGTCCTCTGAGCATCTGACCAGACCTACTGACCATGTTGTAAATAGAGTCGTGCATTCCCAACTGTGGCGTTACCTGAAAACAATAGTGACTATGTGTGGCACCTCTTTGATAAACTTACAGCTGTGATAAAGTTAGTGCCCTGGGGTTGTAGATCCTCGTCTTTCTCAAATATGGAGGGAGAGATGTCGGATGAGGGGGGGCTGGATGGGCAGAGGAAGGAGGTGGAGTCACTGTTGTTGTTGTAAGAGTCCAGGACGGAGGGTCCCGCCAGAGTCAGCGTGCTCAGACCAGAGGCACTGTCACTGGACGTGCACTGGGAGGACGTCTCAGAGCTCTCCAGGACTACAAGGGAAAAAAGGATAGTTTTATGCAACAGTTTGTCTCATCATTTCATTAAACAAAAAAAGGTTTGGAGGATTAGTTTGTTTATGGCCTGGTTTGAGGCTCTTCAGATCCACTCTCCTGCAGCTTATGTATGTATTTATGCTAGTTAAAATATTTAGTTTATCATTCATTAATACATTATTCATCTACAGTATGTCGTGGATTTTTGTTTTGTTTTTGTGGGAAAGATCTTCTCCCCCGGACCATAGTGAAACAGCTGGACAGAGGTTCTAACCCTTACCTTCCATCCATCCATTTTCTACCCTTTAATCCATTTCTGGGTCAGGGGGGTGGCAGTCAGAGATGCCACCCAAGTCTCATAGCACCAGCCCCTCACTGACCCTCTGCAGGTGGTGAGTCCACAGGAGGACGGCTGCTCTCTGAGTGTGAGCATAGCCTTGATCTTTCAGTGGGGGCTTTGGGCAAAGTGGGGTTAAGTGTCTTGCCCAAGGACACAACGACAGGAGTCGGTGGAGAAGGTGCAGAGGTGGGAATTGAACCCACGACCTTCTGGCCTTAAGGCCAATGCTCTACCAACTGAGCTACTGTCGCAGTCAGGGTTCCCGTTAGCCGGCTGTAGCCGGCTTTTGGCCGGTAAAATATGTCTTTGGCCGAGAAAAAAAAGTGCCGTCGGCCACGTCGGTTGATTGAAAAAAAAAAAAATTAAGTTACAATAAAAATTATAATTATCATTATTATCACTATGCAATAAATAAATCACTTAAATCAGACAACAAATCAATAAATGTGGTCGTTTTAAAGGCTTGTGGTTTAAAAGGTGGTCGTGAATGCCTAGGATTAGCGCACCCCATGACGTCGTTAACGCCCTCTGGTTCGCGGCGCGAGATTTGAAACCTACGCTAACAATGTCGAAGCAATCCTCTCTCGCTCATTTCTTCAAGAAAACATCTACTACTCAATCTACAAGTGACTATACACCAACGGAAGAATCAGGACCTCCCGAAAAGCGCCATGCATCTGGTGCAAATGAAAATGATGTCGGAGGAGCAAAAAAAGCTCGAAGATGCTACAAGCCCGAGTGGCAGGATCGGTTCAAATGGTTAAGGCGAGAGCTAATGGATGGGACTGACAAAATGTTTTGCATCATTTGTGAGAAGTCCGGTAAATATAACGGTTTCACCAAAGGATCAATTAACTATAAAGCCTCTACACTGTTAGAGCACAGCCAAAGCTCAGATCACCTGTCCGCTGTGCATTTATCGCAACAACAAAGCGCTATGAAACAGCATTGTGATAAAGCGCTCCAATCAAGCAGAAACGCCTTGACTTCACAGATGAAGGTTGTTTTTTACATGGCTAAAAACGATATACCCTGTCATCAGTTTTGTGGACTGTTGGAATTGATGCAAAGTGTTGATGCTCCTGACTTTAAAAGTAACATTTTATACAAACACGACGAGTCTGTAAATGACATGGAAAAGGGTTTAGAAAAAACTATAATTAATGAAGTAAACGAAAAAATAAAGAAAAGTGACTTTGTTGGCTTGATAATAGATGAAACGGTAAACATCACAGTCAATAAAAAACTCATAATGTATATAAAACTCGAAAACAATGGGAAAGTGGAAACGTGCTTCCTAGGGAATTACAATATCCATTCAGGAACAGCTCTGTGTATTTTTGATGAAGTGAAGGCTGCACTAAAAGAAAGAGGCATAGTTATGGGCCGCGTCACAAGCCTGGGGTCGGATGGAGCCAGCGTAATGATGGGAACGCACTCTGGAGTCGGGGCACTTTTGAAAAAAGAAAGCCCGTACAGTCTCCAAGTCCACTGCATTGCACACAGAGTGGCACTGGCTGCCACCGACGCGTCCAAAGCGGTGAAGACGATTGCGGACTATAAGCGCACCATCAACAGCGTGTATACCTTTTATAAACACTCTGCAACCAGAACAAATCGTTTGCGACAACTCTCTGCCACTCTCGATGAAGGAGATATGACCAGCCTGAAACAGCAGTGTGCAGTGAGATGGCTGTCACTGGGGAAAGCGGTTGAGGCCATCAGACACAACTGGCCAGCGCTCGTGATGGAGCTACACGAAGAGGCTGCAAAAGGCAACCCTCAAGCCCGTGGCATTCTCAATCAAATACAGACGTATGGATTTATTGCACTTACCTATGCCCTCTCAGACATCCTCCCGGTGATGAACAAATTAAATCTGTGTTTCCAAAAGGAAGACGTAAACTTGGCAAGCATCGCTCCCATGGTAAAGGCCTCCGTGTCCGCTTTGGATCAGCTCAAAGACAACGCAGGCCCAGAAGAACGCAACTTAAAAAGAGACTTCGATGTAACAAAAAGCGAGTTTAAATGTGTTAAAATTACACAGGCTTCGGAGAAAAATGTGCGGGCTTTTGACAGCTCCCGACAGCAATACATCGAACACCTCATCGAGTCGCTGAAAAGGCGTTTCCCGACTGATGATCTAAGCCTCCTGAACTGCTTCGACATGGTCTTCAATCCAAGCAGATATCCAGAAAAAGATGGTAAAACTAGCCGATCAATATTGAAAATTATTATTATTAATTATTAAATTATTAATTATTATGGCACCATCTGTGAGGCTAACGTTGTTTTGTTTTTTTGCAGCTAATCTGCAGCAGTACACTGAGAGTGCAGTAATGCCAATAACAAAGCACTACGGCGCACCAAAAATGACTCCTGCTGGGCAGGTGCAACCGCTCATATGTGCCCAAGACGCAGAAAAAGATGCTCTCCCTCTAATGATGGCATTACGCGGCTATGGGGGGTTGTCGTTTCATACCGGATGCAAAGTGGTAATAAATGACTTAAAAGAAATGTTTCCCGACTGGGCAAAACTTGGACAAATAGCCCTGACCATACCCGTGTCCAGTGTACCAGCAGAACGGGGGTTTTCACTCCAAAACCGAATCAAAACGTCTCTGAGAAGTCGCCTGTCAGAGGAAAAAGTTACTCGGATCATGCGGATTGCCAGCTGTGGCAAGGGGCTGGATACATTTGACTTTAAAGAAGCAGCTAAACATTTTAATGCGATTAAAGTGCGCCGCAAATAATGTGGCTTAGGCTTTAGCCTATGTGTCAAATAAGAGTGGGAGGACATGAAGCACATCTTTAAAAACCTTAAAAATTCATAGGCCAGTTATTTTTGCTTTGAGATAAGTTATAAGCCTATTGTATTAATTCTATTTTCTCGTTCACTTGTTCAATTTGAGTGGCCTGTAGCAGCCTACAGTCTAATATCTGTGATATAGCCTATGAACTGTATGTCTTTTCATGTTGGTTACATGATGCCACTGGTTTATGGAATGAGTTAAGAGTGGACTATGCTTATTTTAATATTACAGAACGTGTTTGGCTACTCTCCGAATCAAATAGGCTGCTGCATCTATAAATAAACATTAACATATTGCTGTTTGATTTATTTGTTGGTGTTCCTTTTCAATTGACCTCAAGTTAATTACTTGCTTTCCTGTATTGTTCAGCCCATCTCTTCCTGCTATATAATCAATTACACCGTAGGTTTTAAGGTTATACAATTTGCTATCGTTTGCCATATCACGCTCACTACAGATAGGAAACACTTGGAAAAAGAAAACAGACAAATATATTTTTTATTTTGCCCCGTGGAATGATCAGTGTGTCTTATAATGTCCAGCGCTATCAGGGTAAGGCAGCTACGAGCTCAACCGCGTGCAGATAAGTGTCCCCAGGCGAGAGCTTCGACAAAAAGCCGCTCGACACGTTACTGTGTTTTTGTCTGCATTGTACTGACGAGTTGCGTGTGCTTTCATTAGCCTTTGGAAACTTTTTACTGATACGCTCAGTTCATAAGACCTTGTGCGGATTTGTTAAGGCTACAACATGGGCCGTCTACAGTTTTCATTTGCGTAAAAGGACGCAATGTGTGCCCCTCATTATCGTATTTGTGGCATGCAGGGCAGCGCTACGAGCTTTAGATGACATGTATCTGCTTTTCTGCAGCAGAGAAGCATTTACGTGGCTGTAAAGTGAGCAACTGGTTGTGCACATGCACCTATCACGCGCAACGTGTGCTCAATGGCAACGTGCCATTCTTGCGCACAACCATTCACAAAGAGCAAACTAAACACCAATGGGAGAATATTGTAAGCATTAAGAATCTTTCATCCCAGTCCAGCACTTTAGGAAACACTAATTTTCGGATTTGGTCTTATTGCGCCGCAGCTCTCTTATCTATCGGCATTTGCATGCTTGTGTTCTGGCGGCACTTTAAAACAAGGGTTGCCTCAAAATAGCAAGGTATAATATACAGAGCAGACAGGCACCGCATGTTTCATGTTGTATAATCTGGCCATACAATAGCCTTATACAGGCTAATTAAATTATGTCCGGTTGCTTACCCAAATGGCCGATATTTTCAGACCTTGTCGGCCAAAGTGACCGCCAAAAAAAAAGTCTAGCGGAACCTCTGGTCGCAGTACTGTACCCTTATCTTTATCTTTGTAAATTTGCAATTGTTTTCAAAGAAGTAGCAGTTGAAGAAATAGTAGTAGTAGGAGTAGTAGTAGAACTAGTAGGAGAATCAGAAGTAGCGGTAATAGTGGCTTGACTTTTATTCTTGAAAAATAATAAGGATTTTCATCATATATAATTTTTATATATGATAAACCAGCACCAGCTATGAGACTTGGGTGGCATCTCTGACTGCCACCCCCCTGACCCAGAAATGGATTAAAGGGTAGAAAATGGATGGATGGATGGATAATTTTTTTGTTCTGAAGTTTGTCTATAAAGGTACAATCTACCTGCTTCTGTTGAATGTATACACACAAATACATCTTTAGAATAAGACCTCTTCTTTTTAAGTCATAGGTGTCAAAGTCAAGGCCCAGGGGCCAGATCCGGCCCGCGAAGAAATTATCTTGGCCCCCGAGATGATATTTGATTAGTATTAGAACTGGCCGCACAGAACCATAAGAAAATATTGGATTATTAATTTTATGTTAAGGAAATGTGTTTTCTCTTTGAAGGAAGTTTGTTTACGGTACACTACGTAAGGTCTTGGTTCAATTATATGCTATCATCTTAATACGTGTTAATAAACATTGAACCAGTCCAGAATAATGTAGAAAATTAGTTGTTTTGGCCCTCTGATGTATTTGATTTTGACATCCCTGTTTTAAGTGAACAGTTACCTCTAGTGGTAGTTTTACAGCAGTACATGCAGATCTACTCTAAATCTAAGTCTGTGAGATTGTCAGGAGACTCACTCATGGAGGGCTGGCTGCTGTCCTGCTCCAGTTCGTCTTCTTCTATGCAGTCGTAAGGCCACTGTCCGAAGGGGCTCACACTGGACACGGGGTGAGGGTGTGGGTGAGAGGGGGACAAGTACATGTGCAGGTTTAAGGAGCCCAGAAGAGAAGAGGAGGATTGGCTACTGGAGGACGACGTGCTGCTGTTGGAGATGGTTGAGTGAGGGCGCTTCACCGACGACGAGTGTTCGAACAGAGGCACGGCGATGGAGGCCCGCGTCCTCCACTCTGTTGGAGAAACATCAAACGGAACACATATGGTCACGCAAACTATGATTGAATGTTGTTTACTGTAACTTGAATTACATCCTATTTAAATGTAGCAAGTATAATTAGCAAGTAGTAAGAGTGGGGGGATATATCGATATTTACAATGTATAGAAAAATATATGGAGATATTTTTTTTCTCCATACCGTGCAGCCCTAGAAAGTAGTATTGTATATTATTTTGCAAATAAGAATTATTTTGCATATGACATTTCAAAATATTGTTTTTACTGAAAGACCACAACAAAGTAACAGAGAAGTTTAAGGTGAAAGCAAAATTACAAATGATTTTGTTACTTAAAGAAAAGTATTCATACAGACCACACAGTGGTCTGCAGTGTGCAGTCTTTCAGAAAAAAAAACATCAAAATAAAATCTAGGTTGTACAAATTAAAAGTAGCAGTAAAAGTGGGAAATGAAGATCTACTCTTTTAATCAAATCCCTTCACATGATGTCTATGATATTTGAAAATATTTATTAATATAGTCAAATATTTCAGAATTAGCGTAACATGTTTTTCATGCCTTGTCAACTCTCCATAAATCTAATCTAATCTAAGGTTAGATTCCACAAACTAACTAGTAGGCATTCTTTTTGTGATAAACGCAGAAAACGGCTCTGCCTGATGTCATAGTTAAGGTAGGGTACACTTTTATTCCTGTCGGATTAAAAAAATCCTGATATAATGGTAGATGAGGAAAAACCAGTGGGGGCGGGTCCCGGCTCAAAAGTGGCCAAAATGACGTGCGCTGACATGCTTGCAATACCACCCCGGGCCGATGGGGGTGGACCCGGAATGAGAATTATTCAAGGCTAACATATAGTGAAGAAGATGACAAAGTATTATTACATGTGTTTATGTGATAAAATGGGAGGGTGTGGTAAACAGTGACCTATGTACTGCACAGGTGGACAAATGCAAGACAAAATAGTATTAATAACCTGGCCTTGTGGAGGTCTCAAGGACCACAGAGACTTTCGTTGTTTAGGCTATTTGTGCCGAAGGTTTGGCCTTTTCTATGATGACGTAGATTTCCATATATAATGTATCTGTGTCTTTTGTTCTGCCTGAAAATTAACGACCATTTTGTGAATAAACCAGCCAGGAGGCTTTGTCGTACAAAGATCCCAATTTGCCTGAGTCTGATTCTTATCAATAGCATTAGCCAACCTCTCAAAAAAGTCTTTACAGAATGGTCCAAAAGTTGGCTCTTGGCCCAAAGCTCCGTCCACATATGTGTCAATGCTGAGGGGAGTTAATTTTTTTGGACTAGTCTAGTTCACTCGCTGTGAATTTTTGAAGGCACTCGTTAAATGAATGGGGCTCGTGGCGGTTGACGCATGCGCAGATGTATTTTTTCACATTTTCCAGCCCCCGCTGCCATTTTGAAACTGCACATAGACCGCAGAAGTTGTGACATATTAGTTAGAACGGTGGAGTAGAGGCGTGACTATGTCCGTTAATATTTACAGTCTAGGGGAAAAACACAAGTCAAGGCTTGAATGAAAGACAAAAACAAAAAGACTGACCTGATCCTTTCATGATGTAGTCAACGGCTCGGTCACTGATGGCTGCTTCGCTCGGCTTGATGTCCATAAAAGGCTTACTTCCTATTCCCATGGACACCATCTCCTGCATGCGTAACTCTGACAAACCAACGCATTTAAATAATGAGTTTAGGAATCATATATAGGAAAACATCATAGTTGTGTTAAAAAGAATTGTCTTTTTCAATTCAATGTACATAATGTAATTACTGCAGAGAGGAATGGGGGCTATGTATGTATACAGTATAAATATGGATGGTCTTTCTGACAGTAATAAGAAAGCAGTTTTTGTACCTATTTTTCACTGGGTTTGTGGGATCACTAAAAACCCATCTAACTTCGTTCTCAAAAAAAAATATTGACATCTGTGGTCATTTCTGTCACAACTTTAGATCAGATTGAGTGGTGAAAAAGATCACCATCACCAAGCCAATCATCCCTCAGTATGTAAAAGATGAAAAAAAATTTCTAATAAGATTAAAACAGCATGCCATGGTCTGATTTGTTCACAAAATATGACTTTAAAAAATTGCTGCTGTTTGTTTATATAAAATGTATTTATGAAAACAAAAAGGGAGGTTATCCAGCTTCGATTAACAGACTAATTGCCAGATAAGTTGTCAAAATACTCCTTACATCCATAGACTTTGACCTCTTCTGTTTTTTTACATTTGAAAAATGTAAATTATTGTTCCACAAGTCTTTTGTTTTGGTTTAGCACGATGAGATACAACAACTTATCCCAACACATTGTGGTATTTTTGGTCATTGTCGTCATAGTGATCCAGTCCATAGCAGCAGCACACACCTCTGTTCCTCAGCGCTTGTCTCCACAGGATCTTGCCGATGATCGCTGTCCAAACAGCCTTGACCTCGGCAGAACTGGCCTGAAGTATGAACGTGTCCTGGGATTTCCTCCTTCTGAACCAAATCTCGAAACGCAGGCCGCTGTCACCAACATTCTCCGTCATGCCTATTTCTGCGGTCTGGAAATAATACAAACATGTCACCTCCAAGTACAAATATTAGCAAAAAAACTGTTTATTTATTTTAACTTTATTTTGATTTGAGCACATTTTGAACATTTACTATTGGACAAGCCTACCATCTTTAAAGCTGTGGTACCTGCATGTATTTTTCTGGCCTCTGTCACTTTGTAAGATGAGCTTTTTCAAACAGAAAAATTAAAAAGAAAAGGGCCAATCAGCTTTCAGACCAAAACATTAAATAGTGACTTTCATTGCTCTTTCTCACAACTAAGCAAAAGATAAAATGTTTTCTTATTGAATAAAGACAGCATTTTGTGGTCTAATTTAAACTTTTACAAAACTCTTTTTATTGGCTCAAACAACAGGATACTAATGGAAAAGAAAAGCCTAAAACAATTCATTTCTCAGTTGGAATGAGAACTATGAGACAATGCTTAAAATAAGAGCGAAGTTGCTTGTTCCATTGGCCAATCTGGTTTAAAGACACTAAAATCAAGATGTGTTTTGACCATTTCTAGCACTTATGAGCCTGTTTCTGTCATGCTTTGCAGCAAACACAAGGATTACTTTGTAGGACTGTTTGTAGATGCAGATGTCGTATCCGCCCTCGATCTTCTTGGTTTTGCTGAAGAGGATGAGTTCTTCAAACAAGAAGACGTGCCGGAGGTACTTCCTGCGTCCGCACCACACGATGAACTCGTCCTGACAGCGCAGTGGACCCTGCTCCTTCAGGTTAACCTAAAGGAAACACACATTTAACGGGGTCAGAGGCCAATACAGAGCTGACTATTTACATAACCCTGTACTTCCCGTTCAAAACCGCATTGTGCCAATCCAGTACAGTGGCTGCTATAATGTGAGATCACCCATTCCTTTTTCAATCGACCAAAACCAATAGAGATGCTTGATTTAGATTTCAGTTGCTATTGATAATTAATCCCAAAAACTAGTATAGAACAACCTTAAACTCACTGATAACAGAGACTTAATGTTAGATAATAACTATAATGAGATAATAACAGATGTTTTAACAGTTAGTAAGTTGTGCTGTATGCTATTTGTGCCTTTATCTGTGTGTGTTTCTGCGTTTCCTGTGAGTGCCTTTGGCCTGGTCCTGTTTGCGCATTGTGCATGAAGTAGCATTCAAAATATTGTACCTGGAAAAGGCTTACTTTTAAACCAACAGATATGTAACAATGTAATAATTTAAATCCCATCTGACCAATTTTGTTCCATCAATAGATTTCACATTGATGTATTTTCTGGCCTTTGTCACATTTTTGGACCAAGCTTTATATAGAGATAAAGAAAATCCCCACAAAATCAAGACTTTCCATCCATTTGTTCTTCCGCTTTATCCATGGCTGGGTCCTGAGGGCAGCAGTGTGAGGAGAAACCCCCAGGAATTTTATTTTAGACTGCCGTAATGTTATTGGATCAAAGAAATACATTTACATTGAAAGTCTGTGAGTAGCCCATTTAATTCCCCTATTGCTGGTGTAAACGCTGTCTTATTTGCTGATTACAGTTTATTAGTGAAGTATTGAAATGGTTTGGTATAATAATAATGATACATTTTATTTATATTGCACCTTACATTTCCAGGAAACCCCAAAGTGCTAAAGATTAAAATACAATACAGCAAAAATTAACAACATCAAAAGTTCGTTGTTGATAATGTTTAACTTTTTGTTCTTACATCGCAGCCTCGGATGGCGTCCATGGCCAGCAGGTCGTTGCCATGGCGCAGCTGAAACTTGACCATGTCCTCGGCGGTGCGCAGGTCACTCAGCTCCTGCTCCTGGGACTGACCGCACTCCTTTATCAGGTCCTTCAGCAGCAGAGCGTATTTACTCATTCTCTGAATCGGCTTCAGCAAATACGACGCCAAGTCCATCTTATCCCCGAGCTCCAGCTGCTTGTTCTGTGGAGAACAAACATACAAAACATTCCACAACATATTTTCATCTACAAAACCATGGAATGTGTCTTTTTTGAGCAATAAAAATGTAGACCAAATTAAATTTAGAGTATTAGTCATAACGTCTTTTTTAAATTGGTACGGAAGACATAAAAAGGGGGTTGGACAAAGCAGACGTTTATTTAGTTCTGATCCCTCTCACTCATGCAACCCCCCCATCTCACACACACACACACACACACACACACACACACACACACACACACACACACACACACACACAAACACGACAACAAGACACAGGCCGAAACACTCTCCGACCCTAAACCTAAAGCACGGAGTCGCAGCTGCCCAGGACACGTTGCTCTAGAGGAATGTGGGTGGAGTTTCCAGACGTACCTTGAAGAAGTCGTTGCCGTGGCTGCAGAGTAAAGCGTCCGACTGTGGCTTGTTCTTGCTGTACAGTGCATACATACCAAACTGATCCTCCTGCACACACACAAGACCAACACGTTACAACACTGACCACGCACAAACACACAGGACTGACATTTCAGGGCGCAATGCAAACACTCCACGGTAACACGGGGCTCATGTTTTATCCCATACTGTGCATAGATTGTATAAAGCCAGTCTACTGTCTATGGTGGTGTTACTGGAAGCTTGAAAGGAGACATATGTGTTGCCTCCTCCTCAATAACAGACTGAAGTTGCTTTTAACTTACTGGTAATTTAGGCCAATATCAGGCATAAACCCGTACCCCCACCCCTTCTGTCTAAATGTTCCCATTTCATACTTGAATACTTACATTATTATAACGAGTTCAGAGCCCTTATCTGCCATCATATTTTCAACATGTTTTTCCATATACAGTATTTTCCAATTCTAAAAAATGAAATGCCAATGTAAATATCTCTAAGTAGGTCTCCATTGTGTTCAAGCGCCAGACATACATTTTCTTCTCTAAAAAAGGTAGGCAAAATGCTTAGGACAATTTTGCCAGATAAAATGTGTTTTCCAGAGTTTTATTACCATCCTCTCCTGGCTTTGGTCTAGTTTTACTCATAAAGATAATCCAAGTTTCAGACTGGAAGACTGAAAACTCTTAGTGTGCACAAGCTCACTGCTCTCAGTCCTTCCACACTCAGCTGGCGTCTCCTTGCTGCCAATATCTCACCTGGCAGCTTTTAAGCACTGCCCTACGTTATCATTGAGCTTTCATATTGTGTAAAAAGCGTTCATATTGTGCAGCAAGCTTTCATTCGAGCAGCAACCCTCCTCCTCATCACTGCCTCATCAGCCAGACCAGCTCTGCACCCATTCTAATTAGCTAGCACCACCAGGGTATAGGCCCCTTCTTTTCCCCTTCTGTATCGATAATGCAGTGCTCTGCCAAGGTCTAAGCTCCAAATCATAATCACATTTCATTTACAGAATGCAATAAATTTCATTCTTACAAACAATGTCTCCAGAGTTATATGTGCCAATTTATTCAATGACAGATTAATATAACAACCAATAAATTCACCTCGAATAACCCCTTTCAAATCTTCTTGCTTTTCCTGCTCTTCCATCCATTGCCAAAATCACAAAGAAACAGTGTTTGCAGCCAGCTACAGTACATAAAGAGACTGTGATTCGCTGCCGGACGAGTGAAGGTAAGACAAAGCAGACGTGTGATTGGTGCTGAACACAAAGGCTGACACAGTGAGGTAAATTGCCGTACACATCACAGCAGACGTGTGTCAAGTCAATACGTTTGGTACAATTTATGAAACTGTAAGGAAAACTACAACCTTCTCTTCTGTCTCCTGTCTCATATCTGCAAACACATATCCCCCTCATCATAACTAAACTCACATGTTTGAGGAAACAGCTGCTGATGGACAGAGGCGAGTGTGCGCAGGACTCCAGCTGCTTCAGGAAGTAGTGAGTGTGGAAGTCCCAAAGTTTCTCCACGTTTCCAAAGATGATGGAGCGCTTCCCCCTGAGGTCCTGGGGCAGATCCAGCCGCTCCATCTCCGGGAAGTAGTGCTGGATGACGTAGCTGAGGGAGCGGACGTACTCTCTCTCTGTGGAGATCATCTCGTCCATAATGTGCTGGACTTTACTGTGAAGAAAGTCAATTATAACAATCACATTTCAATCACTGCACGTTATTTACATCTCTGATAAGTATCAGGGGTGTGCTAAGCATGATTTAGAGTTAGCAGCAGTCGTGAAGTTTCACATTTACAGATGGTTAATATTGTACTTACTGTATGTGTATATTGAATCTTTGGGCTGAGAGCTAATTGATCCTTTTCCACTTTTATGTGCAAAAAAACTGATCTTAAGATGTAACAGAGGCCTAAACAGACATGCATGGGAAAACTAGTGATAGAAGTAAACTGTTTTAGATCTAAGAATTATTTGATTTTATTACGAGCTCCATGATTTGTGGTTTGAAAGTTAGCGACCCTCAGCCTTATATCTTTTCCTTGCCGTAGGAAAGGAAAAATCAAGATTGAAACGACGCCGTTATGGTGACCGCATCTCTTACCTGCTCTGCTTCTTGGCCTCTCCCTCGCACAGTCGTGACGGAGTGGACATGCTGCGGCTGCGACCTAAGACGGGACTCGTCACGTTCGGCCTCTGGAGCTTCTTCTCGGCTGAAACATTATTAGCCACTTCCAGCCCTTTTATATAGACGCCCGTGTATCCGTGTGCGTGGGCTCCGTCTGAGTGACTGCTGTCCCGGGGAGTCATCTCATAACTCAAAGTCTTCTTCATGATTTTCTTCATCGGCTGCTTGTACGGACGAGACTTGGGTGAGTAAACCGGCTCCGAATGGCAAGAAACAGAGTCAAAGGTGCAATCGCTGTCGGTGTCTTCAAACGTGGACGGACTCAACTTGCCGTCTGTTTCAGGGAAAGTGAAATGCGTGGAGGATGGAGTGGAGGGGGTGGAGAAGGGCCCCGCTGAATGGGGCTTGTCCTCGAAAGGCAGCAGAGGAGGTAGGAGCGAGCGTTCGTGGTCGGCGGACGAATTGCGACGAGGTGCGTTTGTGGAAGCCGAAACGCGCGACAGTGTTTCCTCCAGCTGTTTTTTGGTCAGCTGACACTTGTGCCACACAGAGTTCCACTTCTGCAGCTGCGGTGGGCTCTCCAGAGACAGGACCATGTGGTTTAGTGTGCTGAAGTTATCCAAGGAGAACTTAGAAGCTTCAGTGCAATAATCCTGCAGGGTCTGAGCCACGGAGGGAGGGACTGAGATGTTGCTGCTGTCCAGGCTCAGCTGGTGGAAGTACTCCTGACAGTGATCCATCCACAGATTGGCCTAGAAGATGTGATGGCAAGTTTATTAGTATAGCACAATCACAAAGCTTTTCAGAGATGTACAAAACAAAAGCAAAGACATGAATAACTGCAATACATTAATCTATCTATCTATTATCTCCCGCAGCAATCTGAGCATAGATTCCCAGCACACTTTTTGCGAGACAGGAAATGAACTACCACTACTAGGGTTGCCAAAAGTATCCAGCATCAGAAGTAGAGCTAGTATCAAAACTAAATATATTTGAACAAGTATTGATACCAAAAATAAATACATATCGATTGCTTGAAGCTCAGCGAACTACAAGGGTCTGGCGAGAGTCAGGCTACCAGCATGTGGCCAGTAAATATAGAATTGTAGAAAATCTCTTCCCTAAAATTATGTGCAGATTATACATAGAGAGACGACGAAGATATTTACTGAGAAGATGAAAGTAAAACAATTAATATCTTTTAGAAAATGCATGCTCCAACTGTAACTCTTGTGAAACGCCCTCTGACGTCAGTGTGCATGTGTACTTGTGATCGTTGCCTGTGGGGTGCTTGTCAGTGAGTGTGAGGAAAGAATATTAATTGTTTTAGACTGACTGCCTTTCCATTATGTTTTTACTACCTTTTTCTTACTAAGATTGTTTTTTTTTTTTTTTTTTTTAGAATAGCCTGAACTTTTATTTTAGTTGTCGATCCAAGGTGCTTTGAGTTTGAATCATGCAACATATAAGAGACCCTAACCCACACTATCACACATTGACTGTGTGTGAAGAATCCTCACCGAGTCGTAGAACTCGTACAGGTTGCTGAGGATGTCCAGCTGGTTTTTCCTTCTCTCCGCTCGGGTTAAGACGGAGCCCAGGTGCTGCTTAAAGTCCATTAGGACTGAACCTGGGAGTAACGGAGGAGCCTCCTTCACCAGCTGCAGACCCAACCTCTGCTGGTGCTGCACACAACACACAAGTATCATAAATGTATAAAGAGGACTTCAATTGTCGTCTTTGATTCAGAATTGTTTGACTAAATCTATTCGCTTGGTGAACCTAGATAATTGAACTTGTTTTGAACAATTACAGAAGGATTTGCCAAAAATATATTGTTACATAATAAGCCAAGCAACACTTGGCTAGCTCTTCATTGCCCTTCAAATTGTTTCACAGATGTGTGACTTGCATTTCCGTATCTAATGTATCATTGACAACAACAACAACAACAAAAAAACTCTGGGGGCAGTAGTGTAGAGTTTCAGATCATTTTCTTATCTTTAGTACATGTTTATCCAAATATTTTCAACTTACCTAATTTTGTTACATTCTAAAACATGAAATGCCAAAGTAGATATTCGTAAGACCATGTTTCAGAGTCAATAATAATGAATAATTTCTTATTTAACTAATATTATATTCAATACTTGCTGGACTATTAAGTGCACCAGTTTATAACTACAATCAGCTAAAATTGAAAATAAAATAAATGTTTTTTCATCTCACTTTAGCCTGCTTAAAGGTGCAGTAAGCGATTTTGTTAGCATAGCCGTTGCACCAACTCAAAATCACTCCCAGCTGGTCAATTCCATTCATCTTTGAGAATACATGATAACTTGACTACTTTTGGGGTTAGGGGAAGTTTGGCAAAGAAATGCGTCTGGCAAAAAATAACTGACTGCATCTTTAAGTGTTAGATTTGTGATGTCGTGACTCATTTACCAATCTATTTAGGCAATAAACATTTGTCTTATAGTTACTAAAACTGGATGCTATAATAATCCATGCATAGATTGACCGCCAAGGGTTCAAAAAAGTAAAAAAAGCGGTTTATAGTCCGGCAGTTACGGATGTTCTTACCACAGACTCCTCCACAAAGTGCTCGAGACCATCTTTCATTTCTTTGATTTTATCCAGACTCAAAGTTTGTGAGTCTAAAGGAGCGAGGTTCTTCTCTCCTTCCACACTGAACCACATTTTAATCTGAAAGTCAGTGAGAGACATGTGTAATCTCTGGCATTTGTTTGTGTGATAACGTTAAAGACAGTACCTGGTTGGTCCGCTCCTCAAACGTGCAAACCTCCAGGACGCCCTCCAGCTGCTTCTGAGCCTTGTTAGACAGAATCACCAGTTTGTGCACCTCCTCGTCCACTTGGTTGTACAAAGTGTTCAGCATCTCAATTGTTTCCCTAAAAACAAAAACAAAAACAAAAACACACATAAATAAAAATAGAGATTTGACGAGCACATTTTGGTGTTACTGTATTTGTGGATTACTGAGTCCACAAAAGGAAGGAATCTATTAGGGCTGAACAACATGGACTTTGTTTCATCTCTCAATATGTAGTAGTAGTAGTAGTTTATTAAGAACATTCGATCTTAGGTCACATGTTTTAAAAGATTGCATGCATTTACAATATCAAAACTAAATAGTGTATATTAAGAATTTCAGTGCTAAATAATAAACAAATTAAGTAAATCAACATTTAAGTTTACTGGGAAATTAATTTTTTTGATATTGTTGACACCACAGTCCTCATTGTAATAATTGTAAAAAGTTGGAGTAACTCAGTGATATCACATTTCTCTGTACTCTCTCATGCTCTCTTCATCTTCAACCAGATCACTATAAAGGTGAAACTTGGATGTTAGAATATTTTTCAAAAGTCCATTTACTTCTGTAATTCAACTTACAATGTGAAACTAGTATATGACAGAATCATTACAGGAAAAGGAAGATTGTAAGCCATAATCATCCAAATTATAACAAACAAATTCTTGACATACGTTACTTTGTGCGTCTTTATGAGTCTCTATCATATACTGGTTTCACATTTTAAGTTGAATCATAGAAATAAATTCAACTTTTGAAGCTGGAGTTGAATGATGCTTTTTGCTTGTGCTTCACTGCCTCCTACTTCTGATCCGCTGCAATTGAACTTCTTATTACATGACTTGGACCGTACGCGCGCTCTGATTGGCTGATTACCGGTCTGATATTTTCCCATCTTGGACCGTTACCATGACAATTGGTCCGAACAGCGCGTATCACATTTGATATCTTTCCTCGGACCGTTACCATGACAATCAGCGCGTATCACACAAAACCAAGTCGGACATGAACATACTTCACAAATATCTCATAAGCATTGGTAAAGACACAGACGAGAGTCATATAATAAAACATCTATTAACCTTGCTTGCTCGGTCTGTACAGAGAAATATCAGACCTTGGCCTTTTTGCACAGACCTCGGCTCGGTTTGTACATTAAGGCCGCGGTCTGATATTTCTCCATACAGACCTCGCGCTCGGTTAATAAGCCGTTAATAAAATATATCTTCATTTTGGCAATTCTATCTCTCAGCTTCCACAAAGTAGCGAAAGGAGTAGTATATGATTGGGATGCTCAGCCGTTATGTTCTAAATTAAAAGCACATATATTCAAACACGTATTGGCACCTGTAGTTTTCGTTCTCGCACACTTCTTCCTTCTTGATGCGTGCGAGGACTGTTCCTCCTTCCAGACGAAGCCTGTTCAGACTGGTGTCGTCCAACACACACTTCATCAGCTGCTTCTGCCTTTCCATCACTTCAGACACTTCCTGCCACCGCACACAAGGACTTTAGATCGATTACATTAGATCTCATGAAAAGGATCCAGGTAAATTCATATTTAAAAAAAAAGAATGACTAAATGATAACCCTGAGCAGTCGGATTCACAATTGTTTTGGTAAATGCAGCATTTTTGGGTAGGCTCTGCTGACATTGAGTGATTGTTTCACAAGTCAAATCCCTGTTATCGCAAAGATTTCCTTTTAACCGTGATACAGCTGTTTTCACATGTCATTTACTCCGCTCTAAGTGATTCATGTTAGAGTCTTATTGCCATAGTAAGTAATACAAATTCACAAAACTACACATTTTCTTTTGCTCAAGCTGCAAACGAGTTATAAGAGTAAAAATATAGTGATATATGTATAAAAAAAATCTTCATATAAATAGTCTCTTCAATTTTCTACTTTATGCAAATGCTAAGTACACACACACGGCCATGATGTGATGACAGCCTGAGTCCTGGATCCACAGCCTTTCCGTCCGTTATAGCGGATACATCTCTCTGTATGGGCCTCCCCGAGGTTTCTAATTTTTTTCCCACTGGGTTATTGAGTTGTTCCTTGCCAGATCATATAATCTGGGACATTTATGGACATTTAAGGACCAATGAGTCCCATGTTATTATTGCATGTGTGTGTTCGAACTTATCTGATGGCAAATCGACAACTTTGTAATGTCACCTAAGACAATTATTATTATTAGTGTCTCTTTACAAAGAATCATGTCTAGTGACCCTTCAACGGTTTCACTTCAGTTACATTAATCTGTGTCTGTTTTGATTTAGGACTAGACACAAATTAATGTAACTGAAGTGAAACCGTTGAAGGGTCACTAGACATGATTCTTTGTAAAGAGACACTAATAATAATAATGGGTAAATTCTAACCTTAGATGTATTCAGACTCCCATTGTTTCCCAGCATGCTGATGGACTGCTGAAGTGAAGAGATGGCTTTGTTACAACTGCTGACAAAAGGCTCAATTTTCTGTCAAAACAAAAGCAGAGAAAAACAGATTTGGCAACAGAAACCGTAGACGTCCATTGCAGCATCACACGGAGCACATTCCAGCCTCAGAAGGGCTTAGAGCGAGCTTACGGATGAGCCCACCTGTCTGAAGCTGATCCAGTGGCTGTGGTCGTAGGAGAAGCTGCCGTCCAGCTCTCGTGTGAGCTGAGTTTGGTCTATGTGCTTTTGTAAGGCCTTCAGAGACGACAGCACCTCCGTCTGAAACAGAATACAGTACACTAGCATCATGTTGGGAATCTCACAATTGTTTATGATTGTTTACTTCCTTGTTAACTTTCAAACCACTTAAAAATAAAATTATGAATAAAGAAATGCACCTAACTAATAGCAGTTTCAAAGCAGTTTGGGTTCATCACTAGTTTTCACATGCATGCATCCTTTTGCCCCTGTTATGACTTTATATCCGCTTTATCAAACAGAAAAGTGAAAAAGACCGGACCATCCTCACTCAGCCAATCGGCTCTCAACCAAAAGAGTCAGCTAAGACAGCATGTTATGGTTTGTTAACTTTTACTTTACAAGACTCCATCTTTAGTATTTAACAAGCTTTAATATAAAAATGTATGTGTGGTGGTCCTGAAAACTGAATAAGGGTAACCCAATTTGCATAATGCAGATAATGTGTTTTATTTGTTTGTATATCACTTCTAGAGATAGACATTTCCTTTTGTAAAAACAACAAATCTCCGATCTTGTCAACGTTACTACTACGTTTAGACTTTTGGAAAAGATAATGCACATAGAATAAATCTAATTTTAGTTAATTCATGTATTTGTTTGGAGGAGATTATTACGAATTATTCAGAAGATACTGCTTTCCAATTATTTGGGGATCAAAGGTGCAATACCCGTGGTAAACAGTGATTTAATGCAGACAGCATTTAATACTAATTAATACTAACTAATAATAATTTAATAATAATTTATTTTTCTGTGTGTTTACCTGTACAGCGAAGTCTTTCTCTGGCTTCATCGCCGTCTCCTTGTCCACCAGGAACAGGACCATATAAAGTGCATTTGGCGTTAATATCTGAAAAAGACAATATCAGATTGACGGTGTCAACTACAACAGTATATGCAGGCTGATAACAGATGTAATGTAAAAGGACATTTATAGTGTGTTTTGTGGTCTCCAGAATAATCCTCTTTACACCAGGGAACAACTCATCACTGGAACATGATGATACGTCTCGTGCAGCCGCCTACACGCCCTTGCGCTGAGGTTGAAAACAGACGTGTGTGCACAGGCTCCTCCACTGCTGCCCCGGAGACACACTTTTCACAAAATGCCTCAAAACCACAGTCACTACAGATGTAAGGTGTGTCTCATCTAATGTGCCTTCAAAGGAAAGTCAGCAGAGGACAGGTAAGAAATGCCAAGAATGCGTTAAAAGGGTTTCAAATAGTGGAGAGAGGTGGAGCTGCAAGTGGGCATGGCGAAAGGGGGAAAAAAAAAACTAATGATTTTTTCCTTGTATAGATCAATCCAATATAAATGTCTCATAGCAATTTGATATAAACTTGCACAGACAGTTTTGTTGGCCAAAATGAGCAAATGCTAATTTGTTTTTTATTAGTTTACCTAAAATAAAATGTGAGGGGACAAAATACAGCATAAAGTGCCCTCATTCTATCTTTGGTTTAAATATTTTTAACTGCTTTCCTTTCAGCGCTTCTGTATAATCCTCTACACATCCTCTACAATCCTCTAAAACGTTTTTTTGCTAAAAAAAAAATCCATCCATCCATCTTTTTCCCCTTAATCCATTTCTGGATCAGTCCCTCACTGATCCACCTGCAGGTGGTGAGTCCACAGGAGCCTTGATCTTTCAGTGGGGGCTTCAGACAAAGTGGGGTTAAGTGTCTTGCCCAAGGACACAACGACAGCAGTCATCAGTGGGAGTTGTGAGGTAGGTCTTACGGTGGGCTCAAACCCACAACCTTCAGGCCCAAAGGCCAATGCTCTACCAACTGAGCCACTGTCGCCCCTCTAAATCAAAAATGATTTAGCAAAACCCATCCATCCATCTTCTTCCCCTTTATCCATTCCTGGGTCGGGGGTGGCAGTCAGAGCTGCACCCAGTACACAGAGCACCAGATCCTCCTGCAGGAGGTGAGTCCACAGGAGGACGGCTGCTATAGTCTGAGCTGCCTTGATCTTTCAGGGGCTTTAGGCAAAGTGTCTTGCCCAAGGACACAATGACAGCCACTTTCACAAAACCACTAACAAGAGTGGTTGCATTCACAGTCTCTGGAATACATCAAAAAACAATTAAAGTAGGAAAGACAAATTATATAAAGGTCTACAAAGCTATAATTAAAAAATGTCTTTCAAAACCGTTGAAGGGTTTGTCTGCACAGGTCCTTTCATGGATTATTTTTGACAGAAAAGCACTTCTCAATCAGATCAGTCTATTCTCGTAGAGAGAGATGTGAGCAGAGGCACATATCACTCCAGTGTTCTAATGGGACAATGAGATCATCGTGTCAAAACTTGAATTGATGAATAGAACACCCTTGTGTGGGATTTCATGGAGAACCTGTAATCATACACCATCATTACAACATAAATGAATACACTCAGAAGATGACGTGTGTTTTAAAGGCAGAGCCGGATCTGAGCATTTGGTGGCCCTAAGCTAAGAATATAACACATACATTTGAAACCTCTACATCAGGCTCATTCAGCTTGTGGCTCAAGGACAATATGGGGTCCGCCAAACAACCTGATCAGGCCCTGGCCCATCTCTGTAAACAACAAAATTAGGCCTGAGAGCCACAAACTCTTGAAGGGCCTCTAAAAGCCTCAGCATACTCTCAGCAAAGCTCTCTGGGACGGGTCGGGGATCTCTGGGACCAGTGTACTTCTACTTCCCAGTGTCAGCGACGCATATGCAATGTTCCCACCTGATTATCAACGGTTGCTATATGCAAGACAGTACAGTGATACAGAGTGTAACGCAGGTGACCTGCTTTGGATGTTGTGCCTCCAATAGACTGCTGATATAGTTTGAGTTGAATATCATTGAAACACAGAAACGTGCAATTGATGATCACAGACGTTTCACATTATGAGGATGAAGTTACAACAAATTTTGAATAAAATAATTGTCAATTCAGCAAATAATTAAAGGAAATAAGTAATAACGTATCTAACATCTTGTGCTGAATGAAGATAAGCTTCATTAACAAGTGCTTTCTGTTGAGAAATTAGTTGTTATGGCTTAGTTTATTTAAAGCGGCACTATGTGAAACACAGGTCAAATAGGTTTGTGAAGCAAACTTGGGAGCACAGTGCGTGAAAGTGCATGGGCGTGAATCAGAGTAATTACATATTTTCCACTGTGGGCTTTACCTGTAATTCAGGCAGAGATGACAACAGAGCTGCACAGGGCTGCTGCCTCCTGCCATCCACCACAACCGTCAGGCCCATGTCCCGCCGCTCTTTTCTAAAAACAGAAGAGCAGCAGTTACCACTAGGCTTGGGTTTGGATTCTAAAGTATCATTTTAACCAGCTGTGTTTTGTACCTCATAGGAAAACAAAACAAACTGAAATTTCAAAAATTATATCTTATCAACTTCCTGAACAATAAGAGTTTTCATAAAACTAGTTACAAGTCCACAGATATTCTACTGTCATTCTATTGTCCATTGTCTCTGTAGACAGCAGTTTACCCCTCGTATTTTGACATAGTAAATCTTGGCGTGATTTTGAATGTGATTTTAACAAAAGGGCCCAGACATATGCGTATTCTGCAAAATGTTCACATATAAATTCAGTTTGAATGAATGCAATGTTGGGCATGTGTTTGTGTACTGCTGTGTATTGCTGTGTATTGCTGTGTATTGCTGTGTACTGCTGTGTACTGCTGTGTATTGCTGTGTACTGCTGTGTACTACTGTGTATCTATGTAGCTTCACTAAACATACTTTATGAGCCACACATACCTGAGAGTGGAGTGGTAGTAGGCGAGTAAACAGGTGAGGTCTGAGGCTGTGACGCTCTCCCAGACCTGAGCTCTGGAGCACAGCTGCAGCACGGAGTGGCCCCCACGGTCCTGGGTACCTGCAGCACCAGGATCAACGGGTCAGTGGCAAATACATGAAAACCACACAACGCACTGAGTACAAGATTTTGACAAATAATATTTTTTTCAGAAGAAATAATTGTCACACTCAATTTTACTTTATATACTTTTACTTTATTAATGTTTTTCTGCACTCAGCCTTCTGCAGGTGTTGACCTGTTCATGGGAGTACAGTAAGGTGTACTTTAGCTCCTGGGGAACCATCAGATGCTCGACTCGGTCAACCCTAACCCTAACCCCGGAGCAGGAGGATTTTACCAAAGCTGCATGTTTGGGTGGTGGGGGAAACCAGACGCCCCGGCCGAGCGAGGCACTTGCTATGAATCCTTTATTTATTCATTTATTTGGGCTGTCACCAAGGAACTGTTTGCCGAGTGAGACCCAACAGGGTCAAGGGTCATCGGTGGGGACCACACTTAAGGGTGACAGTCCACAGAAAAATGTCACACTCAAGAGGTAACAATATAAACTTTTATACAATTTACCAAAGTGAGATATTATAAACCGTTTTATTCTCTTTCTAATATCAGAGACTTATTTCAAGTACAGATATGGGTCATGAAATTCTATTTTGTTTAAACCAACATATTCTACAATCTTTTTGGAAACCTTGAACACTACACATCATGTTTGTGCAGAGTGGTCCACCTGGTAGCATGACAGCCCCGGAAATGAGTAGCTCCTGGTGGACCTCTGCTGCTGATGTAGGCAGAGGTATGTGCTCTACGGGAGCAGAGCTAGATGTGGAGGGTGGTCTGAGCACAATCCCGTTGGCTGGAGACCTGGGAGCCATCACCTCCTCCACACTGAACCTCCTCCTTCTGCTTTCACTGCTGCCTTCAGGATGCACTGGAGAAACAATACCATCACATTACAAATCTACTGATAGAAATGAACGTCTGTTTTTAGAACGAAGCATCAAAACAAGGGATTATTAGTGGTGCAAAGGCTGCAATTACATTGCATTGAGTCATGGCTGAGACCAGGTGGAGTCTCAACAAGACTTGCTTATACAGCTACTTAAAACAGTCTGACATGTTTCATTTCAGCAATAGAAAAGCAAAATAGAGTCTGGAACAATTAGGGATGTCAATATTAAGAATTCATATAATGAGATACTATCAATACAATACGGGGTAAAATATATTGTAACAAACCAAAATGTCATTTTGGAAAGCAAATCACTACAACGGCAAAGACGACAACAACAAGAAAGTAAAGCACATTCAAAAATAAATCAAATTATTTACATTTCTACAGCATACAGTATTTTGTGGTCCAAAGAAAAATAAAAGATAATAATAAGAGGCTATAATGGCAGAAATGTCATCAAATATCATATACAATGTTGTGTGTATTATATATTTCCAAACATCAAATGGTCATTCTGAAATTATATTTTACTTTGCTTCAGCCAAAGTGTATACAACCATTATTTCTTTATACTCAATAAAGCTGACCACTTATAACTCAGACCACTTTAAAATATGATAACCTGCACTGTTTCACATGTCTACTGTGTGTATATTATATTATAGTATATAGTGCATCATTATTTATTATTATTAAATTGCACCATAATGATAAATCCCAAATTTTGTATTATTCCTGTTCACTAACAATAGATTAAACATAATGTTATTTGGTTCTTCTATAACAGACAATAGTAAGATAGCAATGTTTTACTTTGTTATTTATGTTTTGACGACCAATAGCAATAGCATAATCTAATACTGACCTCATTATTTTCCCTAATTTCTCGTGTTGTGTGAATGCAGTTCATGTCTCAGACTTTCCTCAAATATCAATTCTCTATATAAACCTTTACAATTATTTCAGCGCTACTTGAAAAAAAATGATTTTGCTTTCCTTCATTAGAGATAGATGATATGGCAGAACAACTATTTCAAAAGTTTTGCCAGGCAGCCAGACAGCATTTCATGGTTGTATTGTTCACTTTTGCTGTTTTTCACATCATTATCACATCCTGTTTTTGACGCCAAATCACCTCTAAGGAAGTGTATGCTCTTGAATTATGCTCTTGGATTTGTCAAGATCATATGATAAAACAGAACAGAACAAATGACACATCAATCAATTACCCTTTTGTTTCAATTACTTGTTTTGGTTTTCTGAAGGGAAAAGCAACTGGCACCATGGCAGCTGCTGATTGGAGCGTCTACGATTCCTCCATGCTTTAGTCTTCTGCGCCTGTACACGACCGCAGACCCCTGCCTTTTTAGTCATTCTCTTCAGTAGCAGTAGTTATGATTATAGTGTATTTTCCTGTGACAAGTGTGGGTCATTATTGAATGTGCATTTAGTCTTTTTCAGCAGTTGCGGAATAGCCATCAGCCTTACAGAGTTCAGTCCTATTGTCTCCTCACAGCGGTCATTTCCTGTGTCACTGTGAGGCCAGGCCTGTGTTTGCAGACTTTCCTAAACGGCTTTGTTTGAGAGGAAGTGACACAGGTAGAGAACGGCCTCCTGCATTGTGCTGCGTGAAAGTGTGTTTTGGATTCTCCACGGGACTCCTCCAGCTTTAAAATACATTATATTCTCTTATGTAGGAACCTTCACTTTGTAAAGACTGGTTCGTTTTAATTATCAGAGAATCTATTTGTTAACAGGTATATTTTAAAATTAATCATGACTTTTATATACAGCATTTTTACAGCATTGAAACATTTGTAGAGATTTTATAACACTTTTTAAGCAACTTAAACAAGCAAGTTAAACTCATCATTCTTTCAATATGCAGAAGCCTGTGCTTTTCCACTACTTGTTTTGATTTCTGAAGGCCAAGCTACAAGCACACCGTGGCAGCTGCTGATTGGAGGTCTCTGTTTCTCCTGAGTATATTATCACTTGCTGTCTGTAAAATCCTTTGTTCGTGTTGTTCGTCCTTTCTCTACCATTGACAATAAAACATGTCTTCTGTCTGAATTAAAGACACAATCCCAGACTTTGTTATCTTCTTCACATTTTAGAGTAAAGGGAAATTAACTGATCTAACTTTTAGCATCTCCTCTCAGTTTTGACTTCTGGATAGGAGTGAAAGTTACAGACCAGTACTGTTTTACTTTAATTTTACTATGATCACTACGGGCAACTAATCATTCATCAAAATGTGTTGCTATTTTTGTTCTTTCTTAAAATAATTCAAATGTGTCTGTAAGATGTCTATATAGCTGCCAGGGAAACAGTAAAACCCCAAACTAAAACAACCTCTGATTTCAATGACTTCACTCGTATGAATGGACGGAAGAAACGTTGTTTTCTAAAAACAGTATAATTCCCTGGTGATCTTCTCACTTTCCTGAACCTAAGCTCAAATCAAAACAGAATGACGGACGCAAAGACAACAGCAATTTAATGACTGAAGCTGAGTCATTTACCTGCCAAAAACCACAAACTGAGAGCTGTGTGTAGTGACGAGAGCTGATCTGATATCAGAATAAAAGCATCTGCTGCTGTGATCAAAACAAAATCAAGCCTTAAGGCTCTTTAATTATAATCAACAGGTTCTCAGCAAGCAAAACCTCACATCAATTGTTGAAACCGAATAGATTGATCAAAGCTGTATTATCTAACTAAAAACGTTGAAACATAATAAAAATATGTAACTAGTAATCTGATCTAGTATTTTTGGCCTCGGTCACATCTTTAGATCAGCTTCTTAAGTGATACCACAGGCAGCCAATCGGCTCTCAGTATGGACATTTTATTTTTTCCAAATGAGCTGCTGCAGCATGTTGACTATAAAGATGGCCTGTTGTGGTCTGATTTGTTCAGAAAAACTTTAATTTAAAAGGATCAGCAGTAGCTTAAAACAAACCAGTTCATCACATCATACAATGAATGAAAGAAAAAGAATGCAGCATAAAGCCTAAAGTTTGGTTCAAAGTTAATAATGTTCAACTTCAGAAATGTGCCTTAATCAACTGAACAAAACCCAATTCAATAAGAGCCCAAATATATAAAAAAAAAACCTTTGACAGACCTGCCTCGTCTTTGCTGCCTCTTCTGTCCAGGCGATGGAAAGCCGCCTCCACGTCCACCTTCCCAAAGCGCAGTGCGTATCCGTTCATGAGTTTTTTGGGCGAGATGCTTCCCGACCCTGACGACCCTCCCGACGACGACCTCTCCCTGTGCCCTTTCAACTGCGCCGCCTTGTTAGTCCTCTCCAGCGACTTGGAGCGTCTGTCCGGCCTCCTCTCCCCTCCTCGGAGCCCTCTCTGCAGGTACAGGAGAGGCGTACTGGGCCTGTCCTCCCCACCCAACCACCCCCTGCTCCCTGGCCTCCTGGACAAGTGCTCTTGGGGGCTGCGGAGGTCCTGGCTGTCGCTGTTCGATCCCAGACCTTCACTGTGTATCGGACTGGCGCTATGGTCTGAACTTTCTTCCAATATGGATTCGGAGCTAGAACCTAAAGCCATCGGGTTTTGCAATGCTTCCATATAAGACTTCCTGAACAGTCGCCTGCTTTCAAAGGCCACCGAATCCCTGGATAAGCGCCTGCGTGGTCCCGGATTACTCAAATCAGTGCTAATAGAAACAGATTTACATGTCTTTTCTCGTCCGTCCTCCTGCTCGTTCGAGATAGTGTTGTTATTGATGATAGGAGAGGTTTCGTTGCTCTCACATGACTGACTGTAATTCCTGTTCGGAGAAGTCGGAGCGGAGAAGATAGAATCGGTTCCCTGAGAATGCAAGGACTCTCTGGAGCTGAGGTGGCTATCCAAAGTGCCGGTGGATCCGCTAGTGCTGCATGTGCTCAGATGTCCCTTGAAACCCGTGCGGCCGATGCTTCGCGCCTGCATGATGGCGTCGGAGGTGCTGCTCACAAACACGGGGTTGGCCACGTTCTTCCAATGCGTCCGGAACACTGTGGTGCCCGTGGTCAGGAGGCAGTTCTGAAGAGGGGGAATGTTGCGATCGCGAGTTACATTCTGCAAGAAATCAACGGTGAAGATGGTGCCGTACATGCTCTCGGGTATGAGGATCTCCGCCAGGGCTTGTCCGCTCGCACATAGGCATTTTATGACGAGTTTGGCGGTCTTTCGGCCTAAGGGGACGATCTGCAGGTAGAAGTCGCCTTGCCTCAGTTGAACTTTGTGCAGAGGGGAGAGCTGCACCACCACTTTGTCTTGAATGCACAGCGGCCAGCCTTCATGATAGAGCAGCAGACCTCGAAACTGGGCCTAAGGAAGAAAGAAAAGTCAATAGGTATAGTTTATGCATCATCGAAACTAAAACTAATAGAAATAGAACACCTGAGTGCTAAGAGATAAGATAATACAATAAAGTATTATTGTCAGGCAACAGAAGCGACTCAGAATACTTGGAATGGATACATGCTTTCACAAACCATTTTTGTGGTTTGACTTTTTATGCAAGACCTCGATCCAGACATTATAACACACTTTTAATGAATTACTGTGTATCCTGAATTTCACTGTCAAAATGTGACAGTGTCCCTAAGAAGGCAGAAAACCTTTCTTGAAATAAAATCACATTTGAGCTGGTGCGGGGTAAAAGCAGGGATCAAAATAATTCCAGGAGCCCTTTATCCCATGACTGAAACTATCTAAGAGGCAAAGGCAAATGATTTACAGTAAGAGCATATATCATACATTTATCAGTTTAAGGTACACTTTCTTGACCAGTAGGGATGTGTCTTCCTTTGTCGTTCCTACACCACTAAGCTAGGGCAACTTGTCAGGAACAGAGGGACCCATGAGCACTACTGTTGAAGGATTCTCTCAGTCGTAGATTTTTTTTTTCTCAAATGAATGAGACACAAATACTTTTTGTGACTTATGAGTTATTTTTATCATTCTCAATCTGGGGTACCTAACAGCCCTCGCTAATGAAGAATACAGTAATAAAGTTTGTCCAACTAAAAAGTAGAAAGTTGTGAATAAACCAGACCACTTCATATTATTAGGAAACATGTTATCTTTTGCATACTCCTTAGCCCTGTCAGTGATTATTTGACTCTTTTGGCTGAAAGCTTTCTTTTTCTCTTTTCCAAAAAGGACAAGAATCCATTCGTGTGAAAACTAGTGATGGAGTCAAACTGTTATCGAAACTAGTTACATATATTTTAGAACATAGGTCATTTTTTGGGGGGTTTTAAAGTTAAGCACCCCATTATTTGATACATTTTATTTGAGTTAAAGCTGGGGCTTTAACTCAAATAAAATGTATAAAATAAAGAAATAGAACAGATGCACATTCTAATTGCTTTGATCTGTAGAACGATCAATGATTTGTGTAGCTCTAATAAAGACATGGTGTTTTCATTTGCTGAACCACTCACACGCATACTTTGGGCTCAACTTGCCTGATCTGGTCTAGTTTCGTTGTAAAAAAAAAAAAGAATCTTTAGCGATATTGTAGCGCAGAGCAGAAATGACGGCTGGAGGGGCGACCTTTTCATTTTGACTCAATCCAAAGGCAAAAGGACGCGAGTTTGTCCAAAGCTTCTCATATTCCCCAAGCACAAAGCCTCACAGTGAGTGGCTCCCGGGGGTCGGCTACGGCTGGATTCTCCTCCCACTGTCATCGTGTTGTGTGAAACAGGAGCACTGACCACAGCAGCGGCGACCGTGAAGAAGCCTAGTTTTGAACTGAACCAGCCTGAGCACTTTTGTCATCCTCCTCTAAACGACTCAGGCTGAATGCTCCCACCAGTCTTCATTTCCTCAACTGAAATATTTTTGCTGCAGTTTGTATCAAAGCCATGTTTTTGCTGACTAAAACTATGTATTCTTAGTCAGTGTACCGTACTGCACTGTACAGGTGAAACTCTAAAATTAGAATATCGTCCAAAATATGACTTCATATTTTTTTCTAATTGCACTATTTTATATGTGTTTATACTTTTTCAAATAATATTTTAGCCATTTCACTTTTGAGACTTTGCCATTTTCATCTGTACTTTCAGCTACTGTGTCCAAGTAAGTTCCCTTTTATCACCCATTTCATGCTGAAGAACTCTTTTATCACATTTACAACGCTGCAAGTGAAACTCAGAAAAGAAGATTATCGTACAAAAGTTAATTCAAACAATGATTCAACCAGTATATGATCATTTACGTCCTCAGTATATGGCGTAAATGATTTACAATAACTATGTTTTATGAGCTGAGTGGTTTGTACTCGCAGCAAGAAGGTCCTGGGTTCAAATCCCAGTCAGAACAGGGATTTTCTGAGAGGAGCATGTTCTCCCCATGTCTGCGTAGATTTCCTCGAGGTGCTCCAGTTTTCCCTACCACTGACATTTTTTTTTGCAATTGCTCTGATCTTTCTGGGGCCAGAACTCCCCTGAAAAAGAAATTCTGAAATGTCAATAGGACTTTCCCAGTTAAAAAAGGGTCAAACAATTTTGGTTGTTTACAAGTTGTGCACCAATTATCAGCATTATAACTAATAAACGCCCACTTTGCAAGTAATAAGTCTATCATTTATTAATTTCACATTGTAAGTTGAATTGTAATTGCAAAGTAAATGTACTTTTGAATGATTTTACAGAGTTTACCTTTATTTATAAACACAACAGTGGAACAACAGTGGAAATAAAGAACAGACAAAAAAATGTACATAGCTAAAATGGCTGATAACTGCACCATAATGCCTGTGATTTGTCTGTAAACTCTGAGTTTAATGTATTTCTGTGACTCACGCGAGGGCAGCGTGAGGCAAAGCTGCTGTAACTCCAGAGGAATCCTGAGACTGAGCGCTGTGAGAAATGTCAGGAATGAGAGACTCACGCAGGTTTCTTGTTGGATTATCTGTAAGATCCTTTTGGCTGGAAGCAAGAAGTCGATGAAGCAGCGAAGGCCGTCTCCTCTGTAGTGTCTCTCCACCACGCTGAAGAGCTGCCAGAGGACGGTGGAGGCTGTGGCTTTGAACGGCCGGTACAGGGACGACAGTGTGCTCTGGATACAGCTGTCCAACGACTCACTGTCCTAAAAAGAATCAAACAAAACGTGTGTGAGTATGGAGGCACCAGTATTGACCTGGGACGTAATACTATCCAACTACAAGCCTATTACTATTATTCCTTGGATTGATCCGTTAGTTGTTAAAGTGAAGGTCAGTCACTTTATGTTTAAGATGGAGAGACATTTTTTGAATGCAAGCGCCAGTTAGACCTGCCCCCCACAGCTTCCTGATTCAAGCCTTACTTGACAACTGATGCTCCTCACCATTGGTCCAACTATTCTCCTCCAGTAAATATTACTGGTGGTGGTTATGCCAATGGGAGGGACTGCTTTTAATATATTATTTATGTATATATATATATTTTTTTTTTATGTATATATATATATATATATATATATATATATATATATATATATATATATATATATATATATATATATATATATATATATGACGTCAAATTTCAAGATGGCTGAACACGGTTGGCACTGAGACGCCACGTCACTTAAAAACCTTTAAAACTACGCTTCCTGCTGTTGGATCTCGCAAAAGAACGAGGATAAAGACTGTAAGAAGACTGAGGATAAATACTCTTAAAAAAGAAGAGGAAAAATGCCAAAACCAAACCTGGTTACTGTCGTAACCTAAGGTATGTGGGTAAGATAGGGGATACAAAATCCCCGTGAAACAGATTGATGACATGACTGGGTTCACGGATGGTGAATTCTATCGGAGATTTGACTACGAAGAGTATAAAGTGTACGATCAGGAATACGAACTGCAATCAGAAGATTACCCAGAAAATCAACTAAATGATACATGCAAATATTACTCTGATGAAGAGTTTACTAAAAACATTGAAGTCAATACATTTTCTTTAATTCATTTTAATTGTAGAAGTTTAAAGGCAAATTTCAATAAAATCTGTGATCTTTTGCAAGTCTTAAATGGACGTTTTAAAATCATTGCGTTGTCTGAGACATGGTTACGCAATGATAATGTGTCGGAATTTAATTTAGAAGGATATGAGTTGCATCATATAACAAGGAATAATAAGAGGGGAGGGGGAGTGGCTCTGTATGTAAGTCTTGATTTGAAGTGTCGATTGGTGAAAACAATGACAACTGCCGTTAATAATATAATGGAGTGCATAACTGTGGAAATAGAAAACGAAAAAAGTAAAAATATCGTTGTGTCATGTGTGTATCGAGCCCCTGGTGTTAATGTGGAGACCTTCACAGAGAGAGTAGATACAATTCTAGAGCATTTAAACGATAGTAAAATTTATATCATGTGTGGAGACTATAACATTGACCTTTTAAGTTTGTCCAAACACAAATCAACATCAGATTTTCTTGATGTAATGTATAGTAGAGGACTCCGTCCACTTATAACTAGGCCCACACGAATAACCATAGACTCTGCCACACTCATCGATAATATATTTACGAATATTAGAGAGGATACAGTTAAAAGTGGCATTCTTATAAATGATATATCAGACCATTTACCGATATTTATTAATTTCCATCATAGTCATATGAGTTCAGAAAAAGAGACATGCTTGAAAACGGTAAGATTACGATCGGAAGAATCAGTTAATAAGTTTAGAAATGATCTGCTATCAGAGGAATGGAATGGTATTTATGTTGAAGATGTCAACTTAGCATTTGATACTTTCTTAAATCGATATCAATTACTATATAATAAAAACTGTCCAATAATAACCAAGAAGAGAAGAAGTAACAAAAAGCCATGGCTAACAAGAGGTTTGCAAAAAGCTTGTAAAAAGAAAAATAAATTATATAGGGAATTTCTAAAGTTTAGACACAAAATTGCAGAATGTAAATATAAAATATACAAAAACAAGTTGACTAGTATTATGAGACAAGCTAAAAAAGATTATTACTCTAAAATGTTAATCGAAAATAAGAACAGTATTAAAGGGACATGGAAAGTACTACATCAAGTGATGGAGAATAGAAGTGGTACAATGAGTGTGCCAAACCACTTACTAAGTGAAGAAAATAATGAAATTGAAAAAAATGAAATGGCTGATGAATTTAACTCATATTTTGTAAATATAGGCCCAAATCTTGCAAGAAAAATTGACAACCCCGACCAACCGGACGTTTGGAAAGGGGAAAGCAAAATTATGAATTCCATGTATTTAGATGGAATCACTGAAACAGAAATTCAATCGACAATAGCTCTACTAAAAAATAAAACATCCACAGATTGCGATGGGTTTGATATGACGATCATAAAAATGACAATAGACTGTATATGTAAGCCTCTATGTCAGATCTTTAATCTGTCTTTTACATCTGGTATTTTTCCAAATAGATTGAAAATATCAAAGGTTATTCCAATGTATAAATTAGGCGACAAGCATTGTCTTACAAATTATAGACCCATCTCATTGATTTCACAGTTTGCCAAAATTATTGAAAAACTTTTTGTTTCCAGATTAGATGCATTTATAGAAAAACATCATTTGTTACATGAGAGTCAGTTTGGATTCCGAACAAATCGATCAACAGCCTTAGCCTTAATGAAGCTTACAGAACACATTAGTACGGCAATAGAAAACAAAAAAGTACTATTGGGGTATTTATCGACCTCAAAAAGGCGTTTGACACCATAGACCACAGTATTTTATTTCAGAAACTACAGCATTATGGAATTAGAGGGGGGGTGTTAAACTGGATTATAAGTTATTTACAGAATAGACAACAATTTGTACAGTTTGCTGGCAACACATCAGAAAAATTAAAGATTAAATGTGGAATTCCCCAAGGTTCCATTATTGGACCAAAACTTTTTATTATATACATCAATGATTTGTGTGAAGCATCAGACATATTACAATCGGTGCTGTTTGCCGATGACACCAACTTTCTTTTGTCAGGTGACGATATAAAGGATGTGATTAATAATGTAGGAAAAGAAATGATAAAAATAAGCAAATGGTTTAGGGTAAACAAATTATCTCTAAATGTGAACAAAACTAAATTTATGTTATTTACCAAGTGCTATCAAAATAGAAATATTGAGTTGTGTTTAGATGGAATAAACATTGAAAGGGTAGAAGAAATTCGATTCTTGGGTGTGACCCTCGACGAGAATTTAAATTGGAAATCACATGTTGAAAATACACGAAAGAAATTATGTAAAAACCTCTCTATCCTTCACAAAGTGAAATATTTTTTAACTTATACAGCTCTGAGGATATTATATTTTACAGTAATATTGCCATGTCTTTCTTATTGTTTGGAAGTTTGGGGAAATACGTATGTAACCACACTGAAGCCTTTGATAACGTTACAAAAGAAAGCAATAAGAGCAATTCATAAAGTCCATGGGAGAGAGCACACTAACCCATTATTCATAACATCCAAATTGCTAAAGGTACCTGACCTTATAAAAACCCAAACACTTACAATAATGTATAAGGCAAGACACCATTTGTTGCCTCAAACTGTACAAACACTATTTTCGTTTAAATCAGACTCTCGTCTCCGACACAAACTTAACTTTATTCTTCCTTTTGCCAGTACCACCCAGAAGCGGATGGCTATCTCAGTGGCTGGAGTCAAGCTGTGGAACTCCATGAAAGACACTTTAAAAAACTCCACAAATATTTTTCAGTTTAAACAAATATTCAAGGAAACAATAATTAAATCATATGAACTGGAAATTAAATGAAAGAGGATTATTTGTTTTGATGAGCAAACCCTGCTTGTGGCATGTTTTGTATTTGTTATTTCTTTGTGACTGATGTGTTGTTACATCAGACCATCTTGAAAAATGTTGTTTGTTTTTTTTTTTGGAGAAAGGGGCACATAATATAAGTTTGTCTTCTTTGTGCTCCTTTTCAATTGTCTGACTACTAGTATTATTTTATGTAAACATGTAAAAATGAAAGAATATTCAGAACAATTGAAATAAATAAAAAATGAAATGAAATGAAATGAAATATATATATATAGATAAATCAGCGTTAATCAGTTATTGCTTAAGACGAACCATGACACAATTGCGCAATTCCTAATATTACGTCCCTGTTTGTGAAACCCATCCCTCAACAAATAAAAGCAAAATAACTCTGTAGTCCAAAATGACTCATGAGTACTTTTGCCAGAGACCATAGAGGGATAACCACAGACACCTCTGCTGCTGCATATGAGTCCTTTGGCCTGTCCGTCCTCTACACTTCTCTATAGACTACACAGGGACACCCACAGCTGCAGCACATTTGTGCTTGTGTCAATCATGTGATATATTTTTCATGTCTTAAATGAGTCTTCATTGTCATTCTTAAAATGAGTTTGCGTTAACGGCATAATTAAGGAGTTTAACTGACAGCACTATAGAAAACATCTTTATTTGACAATAAATGGCACCACACAACCATTAACAATGAGTGGAAAAAAGGTTTTACACTATTATTTATAATCTGAGGAAAATGGCCCAAAAATTAAAACTTGGATGTAAACTTTCAAGCACGACTGTTTTAAAGAGTTTAAAAATCAATTTGAGGTGAAAAAACTTTAGCCACACATCAGCTCATTCAAACTCCTTGTAAAACACAAACAGACGGATGGTTTAAAACTCCAACCGTCAGAAAATAATAAAGATTTGATTCCGGAAGTTCAAACGTGATAGGAAATGATGATCTTTCCATCAAAACGAGAGGAAACACCTGGAGGGAATCACGTCACTGAGAGTGGAGACAAACACACACTGGAAAGTCTATGATGGGACTTTTCTCTTAGAAAGAACAGGAGGAGGAGGAGGGGCCTGTTGCAATATCAAATGTTTGTGTTTGATGTTGTGACACCCCATCCCTGTGAGAAGGAATAGGATTTACAGGCCAGACTAGTTTAGGTTGTGTTCATGTTCTAGAATTCTATTTCAGTTGAAGGGCAGGTGCAGTAAAAGTAAATGATGTGATGTTGAGAAGATTCACAAAGCCTCCATATAATTCTTATGTCTGAAAGTCCTTTCAACTGCCCCACAT